TGCATAATATTATCTATCAAGTTTCAAGTTTGGATGATTGTCAATTAGATACTCAGGGTACCAACGGTTACTGGAAATTTTAGGGTGTTGAATAATATAATAATATCATACTTAAAGTGATTAATAATTAATTCTTTATGTCACATTTCATAATAAAATAGAACACAAAAAATTACGATAATTATATTAATAAAGTTTAGCAAATACATTCACAATAAATTAATAAAATTTCTTAAAGCAAACATTCATTAGATATATAGACATAACGACGAAATATACCATCAATAAATATATAATATGTTTATTTAAGTCAGTAGACCCAACCACCAAATCACGTGTTAGCACCAAACAGAGTCTTCATAATTCAAATCAACCTTAACACGAAACAGAGTGAATTAATCTTAATAATAAACAGAACGAGTCCTTACCTAGAATAATAGAACGAGTCACAATCCAAAATAACAGACTGAGTCAATTTTAAATAATAAATAGAATGAGTCATAACCTATAATAATAGAACGAGTCTGCTCAAATGATAACAAGAGTGAACTACAACCCAAAATAATAAAGTGATAAATTGGTGGTGTATAAAATAATAAGATGAAATCCTACCAATGGAAATATTTGATCGTACTTCTCACTTTTTCTATTGAATATAAATTTTAATTTATTTACAAAAATAGTCATTAACTTAGTTCTTAGTCCTAGTGCTGTCCTCTTAGTAGAAAGCTTATTATAATTAACTAAATAAACGAATGAAAATGTCAATGGACCGTCGTCTTTCTTTTTTGTTAAGAATCTCGGCGCATTGTCAATTTCAAGGACCCCTCAACCAAAGCTATTTTGCTTTCTTCTTTTTCATCAAATAGGTTATTTTTCAAAAACAATAATAATTCATGAGATGGTTAATCAAGGACCCCATAATTGCAATTGCTTTACTACCAATAAATATTCTTCTCTTCCTACGGTATCTCCTAAATTTCAACTCTACGTTTGATTTAAAAATTTAAGAGTTAATTGTACTAAATGTCCCTAAATTATAACTTTTGTTTTAGATTGGTCCTTAAACTTTTGAATGTTTTAATTTCATGCCCAAACTATTACTATCATTTTAAAATACTTCTTAAACTTTTGGACATTCTAATTTCTTTTTTTTATACATCTGGGGTAAATACATGACAATATTTGTTCAAGGACTCTCAACCAATTGATAATGAATGCTCATACCCCTGTCGGTGCTCGAACCCATTACATCTAAGGAGAATAACGAGTCCCTTAACCACTGAGGTCAATTGGTTCGTGCAACATTATAATTTCATCCCTAAACTATGTCCCTCTTTCTAAATTGGTCCCCAAACTTTTAAACATTCCAATTCTATATCCAAATTCATCCAAATATGTAATTAGTTTCAACCATAGTTTAACCTACATTTTTTTCAAACATATAATAATATAACTTGGCCTAACAATTTTATTAACAACGGATGTGATTAGTATATTTGTGGAATGTTCAAAAAAAATTGGGATCAATTTATAATGAAGGTCATAGTTTGGGGATTAAATTGAAATGTTCAAAAGTTTGAGGAATAATTTAGAATATAGTCATAATTTAGTGATGAAATTGAAATGTTTAAAGTTTAGGAACCAATTTAAAATTAGGGTGACACTTTGAGGACATGTGATGCAATTAACTCAAAATTTAGTTAATAAGTTGTTTAAATTTTAATATATTTTTTTATCATACACAACTAAACTATATATTATAAGTACAGTTTAAAATTCGACATGATTATTATTTATGCTAAATTATCAATTTAAAATATATTTGTATTATAATTATTATAGAGACTAAAATACATAGAGTGTGATAGAGGTCTAATAATATTTTAAGTCTTTATTAATTTAAATTTAAATTAAATTATTTTTAAATTTTTTAGATTAAATATTTAATAAAATTTTATTTTGATTATAAATAATTTGCTTCTAGCCCGGTCTCTGTATACAAAAATAATTTCTTTTACTATTTATACATTAAATAGCTATCTTAAATAGTATATACGAATCTTAATAAAACAGTGACATAAGCATATTAATTAACAAATGTAATAAAGATATTGGGGAGGAGGCAGGGCGGCTGAGTTAAAAATGTGTAGAGAAAGTAGGAATTTTCCCAATGGAACAAGCAATCTAGATGTAGGGATAGGCATGGGTCGGGGTTGGGTTTCAGCTAACTCTTCTTGAAACAAAAATTTTACACTCTCACCCGACTCGACCCAAAAAAATATACTCTTCACCCGACCTGACTTTTTGAGATAAAATCCAAACCTGATCTTATGTCCTCAAATGATAAATTGAATTAGTAAATAATATACTTAATTGCATCTTATATCCTCAAACTATAATCTTTATTCTAAATTGGTCCTTAAATTTTAATATTCTAATTTCATCCTAAAACTATGACACTTAGTTTAAATTAGTCCTTAAACTTTTGAACATTCCAATTTTATCCTCAAACTATGACTCTCATTCTGAATTGATCCCTAAACTTTTAAATCTTCCAATTCATCCCTAAACCCATCCAAGTATGTAATTAGTTTTAACCATAGTTTAACCTAAAATTTATTTTTTCTCACATCTAATAATATAGCTTGGACTAACGATTTTATTAACATGAAATTTGATTAGTATATACATATTATTTGGGATGAAATGGAATGTTAAAAAAGTTTAGGAACCAATTTAGAATGAAGGAAAAATTTTGAGGATGAAACTAAAATGTTAAAAAGTTTGAGGACAATTTTAAAATGATAGTCATAGTTTAGGGATATTATTGGAATATTTACAAGTTTAAGGGCCAATTTAGAAAGAGAATAATATTTTGAGGACGTATGATGCAATTAACTCATATTAATATATATTTTGTTTGTAATGTATGAAAGTTAAGTGGGATTTAGCTAATTTTCCCAATTATTCATCAAATAAATGGGAGGTTTGACTTGAACTATGGCATGTAAAAATTAAGTTACGTTTTCAATTTGGAAATGAATTATCAATTCTGTATTTTGATTCTATCAAAAATAATAAAATAAAAATAAAATTTCCATGGCATAAGGCCTGCCAATTGCGTAATGCTGCAAGCAAAAATCTCCTTTTACTCAATCATTTCATTTGCCAAACTTCCCAATGTGAAAAACTTTGATTTCAGCAATGCAATTAGTAATAATCATGGCCTGGGTAGCGAGAGCAGTCTATAATTTAAATTAATTGATTTTATTAAACTAAATAATTTTAATTAATATAATCAAAATGATATAAAGGCGGGTGAGTTTAGTTGATTAAATGGGCCAACCGATTTACTTTTTACAAACAAAATTATTTTAAATGGTTAATTATTAATTATATTTATTATTGATTATAAATATACTTAAAACAAATATAAATAATATATATAATAATTCGGGTGATTTAATTGTAAAATTTCATAATAAATATTGATAAACTAATTAAACAAACTTACCTGATTAGGCTGAAACTAACTAAATCAATTGGATCGATTCCAATCATTAGAACAAAAAATTGATTTCCCTTGATCAAAGGGCACAAATATATTATCCTAGTAAACTCCATTTTTGGTCCCACAAATAACCACTAAATCATAATAAATAATTTTTTAATCGTTGAAGTTTTAAAAATTATAAAATGATCATTAAAATTTGTTAAATTTTTATAAATTAATAGTTAATCTTATTAAATTATTAAAAATAATATTAAATTTATCACTATTTTATAACATACATATTTTATAGCATATCAATAAGTTTAATGATTATTATATAACTCATGAAACTTAAGTAGCCACAGATATTATTTCACCATGGTTTAGTGACCATTAAATGTAATTGACCTTTTTTTATTGGCACGGTTAGGGTCGGGAGTAAGGGGCCAATCCGAAGGAAAAGTATAGACATTTCGTGAAAGCATTTGCTGCTTTATCCACAAACCAACGGCTAACAATATTTTATGCCCAAGCCGATTGGTCTAAAATGTGTCAAACCAAGGGTAATTTGGTACTTTCAAAAGTACGGCATTAAATTAAATACCTTCAACTATGTGAGCTCCAGCTGTATGTAGCACATTGGGTGGTTGGACTTGCAACCTTTTTAGTCCGTATGAGGGCAACTCAGAATTAATTTTGTTAATAATTTTTTGCATGGTCCTATTGCACTATTTAGTAATAAATTTCTAAAAAATTAATTGGTTAATTTGATTAGTTTGCTATAAATTCTGTAAATCATTTTTAATTAAAAATTTAATTATATATTTTAAATTATTCAACAAAATTAATTATTATTTTTATTTTTATTTTTAAAAACTTCCATAATATTTTTTTGTTAGAAATCAACTCTATTAGGATTGACATCTATTCATCGCTACTCAATCAACAGGTGTCACACTCCTAATAAAAACTTACTTTGCATGAGATTTGAGTTGTTCTCTCCAAAAATTCGGGGATGAGCAAAGAAATAGAATAAATTTAAAATTGAAATGTAGTATTTAAATAGTTAATTATATATAATTTTAAAGATTATGGTTATTTGAAATTGAATTAAATTTATATACTATAAAATAAATACTTTATATCTCAAATACTAAAAATAAATTTAAAATAATTTATGAGAATTATAAATTATTTTTATTTACTTTAAATAATATTTCTTTTAATTTTTTTAATTTTATCAAATAATATAAAAGTCCATAAAAACAAAATATTTTATCAATATAAAAAATAAAACCAATGATTAAGAAATGTTTTAAAATCAAACCGAAATTAACGGATCTCACCCTAAAAACACATATCGGATAAAATCACCAAGAAGAGACGGGTTGAAACAGAGGTTTAACAGCAAAGGTTATTCCCATCCACGCAATGTGTAGAAGCCGAACACAACAAGGCTTAAAGTTCGGACGGATTCGATTCCGTTTGGATTAAAAAAAAAAACTCAACCTTTTTTTCCGAGCGGAGGGAAAGGAGATGAAGGAAGAGCTTGAGTACGGTTTACGCCAAATGTGTCGTCCTTATTCCTCTTAACAAACCCTTATAAAGAAGTCACACTTTCCCTCTCGCAATATGACAATACCAACCTTCCTTCTCCCTCTCTCCACTACTTTTCCTTTCTTTTTATGTCCTCCTTTTTCCTTTTCTTCTTTTTGTTCCCCCTTGTTCATATTCTCTATTTACTAGTATAAGAACCCAAACTGGGATGCTGCTGCTATTGTAGGCTCAATTGGGTGCCCCCAACTCTTCTTCTGTACCACCTTCACTGTCTTTTTTTTTATGGAGAAACTTAATTTTGTTAAGGACGGTGTGCTAAGATTGCCTCCTGGATTCCGGTTCCATCCGACCGATGAAGAGCTGGTGGTTCAGTACTTGAGAAGAAAGGTGCTTGCTTGGCCTTTACCGGCTTCCATCATTCCTGAAGTTGATGTTTGCAAAGCCGATCCTTGGGAATTACCAGGTTGGTTTAACATAATATTCACAAAAAAAACTAGTCTTTAGGAGAAATCAACTGATACATTTTCTTGTGTGTATTATTTTTTATCAGGTGATTTGGAGAAAGAGAGGTACTTCTTTAGCACGAAGGAAGCCAAGTATCCCCATGGGAATAGATCCAACAGAGCCACACTTTCGGGTTATTGGAAAGCAACCGGAATCGACAAACGAATCGTGACTTGTAGGGGCAACCAAGTGGTTGGTATGAAGAAAACTCTGGTTTTTTATAGGGGAAAACCCCCACAGGGAAGCCGGACCGACTGGATCATGCATGAATACCGTCTGGTTAACGGAGAAACAACAGCCTGCAATGCCCCACACAAGAACCAAACTCCGGTCAGTTTTTTGGTCTTACCATTTCATCCCAACCACATTGTTGTTTTAATTACGTCATGTTTTGGTCAGTTAAATTAAATGATTTTGTTGTTAAAACCTATGCAGAGCCATATGGTGGCCGTGGAAAACTGGGTGCTGTGCCGGATATTTTTGAAGAAAAGAAGTGGTGGCAGTACTAAAAACGACGAACACAGCAACAACAGCAGCAACGAGAAGGGAGTAAGCAAAGCAAAGACAATGAGGCCTGTTTTCTATGATTTCCTGACCAGGGAGAGGACTGACTTAAATCTCCCTCCTTCAGCCTCTTCTTCTTGCTCCAGTGGGATCACAGAAGCTTCAAATAATGAAACGGATGACCACGAAGAAAGCAGCAGTTGCAATACTTTTCCATATTTCAGAAGAAAACCTTAGGAAAAAAAACCCAGTTTCGCACTTTTGGTTTTCATCATGCATCAGCACTTGGGCTTCTGATTACCCAATCAGAATAATAACCCTCTTTTGAACAAAAGAGTTCAGCATGCGTTAACTATTATTTGAATAGCAAAACTTTGTTAAGCACATGGTTCAAAAGTTAAACAAATGTCATCGTGGAACATGTTATGATTCACTTTTGCAAATGAACACCCAGAGGAAGTTCCAAAATGCAGGTCTGAGTAAAGAGAAAGTATAAAAAGTTAAGGCATATTAATAAATAAGCATATATTGTTGACTTTGGCAAAAACAGAGCTTTTTTTTTTGGGGAGCACAAGAATAAAGATATAATCTTTGCAGATATGAATTTGCACGGTGGAGGTTGCTGGGAAAGGTGAAATGGGGTTGATAAAAGAACCCAATTCTCTCCCACTATTATCTCCACGATGGGATCGAATCTCCAAAATTCTTATCTTCCTATACAAGAAAAACAAGGAGACATTTTGGGACTGATTTTTTTTTTCCTTCAGCATTAGCAACTACTGTCGCATGCTCAGAGTAGGTCTAAGTTTCCAATCCTCAATCTCCCCATCTTATATTACTTTTTAGTTGTGGATTTTTAATCCGCATACTCTGGTTGATAAAAATAAATATTATTTTTTAAAAGATTTAAATTTAATTAATTTTTTGGGATATATATATGTATTATTAATAGAATAATAAATTTTTAAAATAATTTTATCTTATCATCATCTCAAACTATTTAAAAATGGTAAAGTAGTTTAATATTCCAAGTATTACTTTTGATCTGTTTTGGTCACCTAATTATTTTTTTTAAATTCATACCTAATATTGCGTCTTGGTTTGATTTTGGTCACCCGACATTAAAAAATTAACACTAATATTGACGTGTCATCATAAAGTAATTCAACATCATCATTAAAAAAGCCACGTCAACGTAAGATAATATTTACCGGTGGGTGACCAAAATGAAACCAAGACGCAACATTATGTATGAATTTAAAAAAAAAGTTAGCCGACCAAAACAGAACAAAAGTAATAGTTGGGATACTAAGAGTGTAGTTTATCCAGAAAAAGTAGTTGTAAATTTTGCGCCTGATTCTTTTGAAAACTTAAGCCAAAGATTAAGCTCTTAATTATTGAACACGGAAACAACAAAAGAAGTTCATCAATAATCAGCAGTCAGATCATGGCTTTATTTAAGTATTCCTTGTGCGTAAAGAAACGTACGTAAACCCTTGTTTTCCTCAAATTTTCTACTCCACCCCTTTCGCATTTCAAATTTTGTTGCTAAACGTCAGCACATAGCTAAGAAATGGGGAGTTCAAGTTTTAAACATTATTACCCTGCAGTTTGACTCTAGTAATAATCAATAGTATATAAAGATCACATTAACAAACAAACAATGTTCCCCATAGCACTACAGTTTTAATTTAATTCTTAATTAGTATTTTTGCCAATACTGTGGTACAATTAGCAAAGCCGAGGCCTAGTTTTTAAACATTATGGTTTGACTCTCATTTATGTAAATTTCATGTTCAACCTATCATGTGTGGACTGTCTTTAAATGTTTATTTCAATTATTATTATTGTGATTGTGATTTATCATATATTTGTAAATATTAAAAAATAATTAATAATTTTTATAATCAATTGAGTATTAATTTAGCTAGTACAAAAGTTGTGTAACAACCAAGTGGAAGCAAGACACCTGTGGTCGGCCTTGATTATCGTCCATAATTGAGGTAGTTTACTTTGTCATAAAAGGAAGGCAAAACCAAAATTATAAATTACAAAAAATATGGGGATGATGACCAAACATATTAATTCAATATATATGCCCACCAGAGTTTCTTGTGATGATGGTTTTACCATCAAAGTTTGGTAGTATTGAAGTGGATTGGATGTATATAACTTCAAAACTATTTAAATTTAAGAGTTTAAATATATTTTTAATATAAACTAAATCTATAATTTATATATAATATAAAGATTAATGATAGAATTTGATCAAATATAACCCTAAAATATGAAATATCCAGTAAGACAAAAGTCTTTATATCACAACAGAAATGCAGTTGCAGTTGCAGTTGTAGACGAGAAATTAATGTATTATCAAATTATATATGTAAGGTGACCAGTTCTGGAAAACCAACCACTTTTATTATTATTATGGACTGATTTACCTAGTTTAAAAGGCTTGATTGACTGGCATCTCTGCTGCAACATTAACATCTCCATACATTTAACCAACTTCAATATTTTATTTATTGCTGTCACCATCCATCTAGTTTTTTCGTTATAAATGCACTCAAGCCCTACTCCCTCTCTCTCCCTCACAACGTTTAGTCATTGTATTATTAGACAAGAATGGCACGTAGGCATAAACAATTCGTGCCCCGAAATGAATTGACAAAACAGCTGAAAATGTTGTGAGGGATAGAGGCATGATATTTTTGTTTGGGAACGAATTTATAAATTTTTAGGAGACTAAAATAAAATATCAATTAAAAATATAAAAACATTTTAAATATATAAAAATTGAAACAATTTGAGGAAAACAAGTTTTGGAGAAGACTGCCCTGTATTTGAAAACTTGTTTGAATTTTGTTAAGTTTATGCTGGTGGAACAATAGTTAAACCCTAATTTGATGGTTTGTTGCTCTTGACTTGATCTGTGCATTTCAGTCTAATTGACGTAAAAAACAAGTTAGGGCAAAACTTGCCAAAATTCAAACACGTTTTCAAATACAACGAAGTCTTCTCCAAGATTTTCTGGGAAGAAAAGAGAAGATGAACATCCAAGTATAAAACCAATATACTTTTAAAAACCAGGTTGATAAATGCAATCTTTTAATCAAATTGTTAAAACTCTATTATGACAGGGTGATGACTATTAGTTTTCACATGTATGGAGATACGTTGGAGGAGGAGGAGGAGGAGGAAGAGCGTAATAGACCAAAATAATTTTTTTCGAACCTATGAATAAAATAGGACGAACCGAAAACACAGAAGACCAAACACCGTATGACCTTATTTTTACGGTAATGGACCAAACATTATCCATACAACAAGATTCAATGCTATATATTCTTTGTGACCACCATTTCAAAAGCTATATAGGCTAAGTTGGTTCATTTAAAAGACACAAGATTCCATCAATCCTCTAAACTTAGGAGGGGACCCCTCCCCCCTGTTGCTGCCAATACGGATGTAATCTTCAACACCAGTTTTTATTATGATGTGTCACTGTCAATAGCCTAAACAAGCATTACGGCGGCTGCTACATTTTAAACATGCATGCCCTCCCTTATTTTAAGTGAACCCTTTCTACCATTTCAAACCTTCATTCTTTGACCCCCCACAACCCTAATGTATCCACACCATGACACTTGTCAATAATACCTAGGAAACTGCGTCATATTCATTTACTGGCTCTATGTCACAGCTTGGTGAAGGCGATTTGTTATATAAAAATAGAGCAAAATCCCAACCCTCCACCACCGGAGTGCAGCTAAGATTCCATATTCTAAAGTTGATGAAATGTTGGAACTTAGCTTAGGCACTGAGCTTCAATCTTCACTTGAAATTATGCTTTTGGTTTTCTAATGCATCTCTCTGATTTATGTCTACTGGTATTTCCTGAGTTACTGTAGTATGCTAACTAGTATGCTAATTAGAGATATGATGAAGTTGATGATCAAAGTTGGTTTGTTTGCTGGATATTCCCCAACTTATTTTGAAAAATGCGAGCGTTGTAAATTAGGGAAGATAATAGCAAATATTTTTTATTGTAAATCAAAGGAAAAGATAAACGAATACACAAATGTGAAAAACATTTAACTGAAAAAAATAATGGATAAAAGATAAAAAATACATTACAGTCAATGACAATGTCATACGAAATGTGTAGCACCCACCACCAACACTAAAAAAATCCGAGATATATATGTGTGTGTGTACAAGCACTAAACAATAGACAATATATATATCAGATTTCTATCTTCAAGAATCTCCACATCTATATTCTATTATGATATATTTTTTTTCATTTGAAATTGGTCTTAACTCCAAACCATTGTTTAGAGCCCAAATTGCAGCCCAGTCTTTGAAGTTCCAATTGTCAAAGTGTGCATTCTAATAGAAGTGGGACTTTCTTTTTCTTACTATCTGTAAGTTTAATTTTTCATAGATGGATTTGATGTCGTTAAAATTGATCAATATATAGTGCTTATTTATTATTCAACTGATCTTTGTTATCTTGGACCTTCAGATTGGATTTGGAGACACGATTTACGTCTGTAGATAATTTTCTTACGGCGCTCGATTCTGATTTGCGGTTCTCGATGATCTTTTAGTAGTTTAATCTCATGTTGTAATTTATTTGCCGATGCAGTCAGATTTGTTTGTATCTATTTTTTGTTCGAGCTTTTCTGACGTGTTTTAATATTTTCCTTGTATGATCATTCTATAATATCGAGTAACTAGTTATCTTGTGTTATTGGTTATAGAAAATTATTATAATTATGTGTTTAGTTTACGGAATTTATTGTAATTTTGAATATTTTATCCTTTTAATAAAACTAGTGGCTTATTTACATAAAAAATTCTTACTTTTTTATCAAATTAGTCCTTAAAAGTTTTTTAGTTAAACTTATCTATAAAATTTTGGGTAAACTACATGTTTAGTATGTAAAATATCAATTTTATTTCATTTTAGTTCCTAAACATTTATTTGTTCAAAATCATATCTAATTTTTACTTTTTGTTTCAATTTAGTACTCTATTGTTAAAAACTTAACGGAACACTTACATGTGGCATTTTTTATGGGTAAACTACAACATTCATCATTTAACTATTTTCTCACTCATATTTTGGTCACTAAAGTTAAAAAATTTCAATTAACCACTCAGCTTTCGAATTGCTCATGTTTTAATCACTCTAATTTATTTTATTAATAACTTTTATGGCATGAGATTTTTAATTATTATTTTATTAATATGTAATTAAAAAATTATTTTTGAAAGTTAGAGTGATTTAATTAGGAGTAATTTGAAAGTAAAGTAATTAAGCTATAAAAAATTAAACTCCAATGACCAAAATAGGAGTGAGAAGATAGTTGAGTGATGAATGATGTAATATACTCATAAAAATGTGACATGTTGTAGCAATTCCATTGAGTTTTTAATGGAGAAATACCAAAAAGAAACAAAAAGTAAACATTATGTATGATTTTAAAACAAATGAAAGTTTAGGTATTAAAATGAAACAAAATTGATAAATTAGGTACTATTATAGTTAGTACATATTGTTAACCTCATTTATTAAGATATTTATTAGGGATGGAAGTATGACCCGAACCCGACGGAGAAATCCGAAACCCGATTATATATATATATATATATATATATATATTTATATATATATATATAATTTTATATATTTTATATTAATTATATATAACATTTTATATATTTTATATTAATTATATATAAAATATTTTCGAGTTCGAGTTTGGGTATAATATTTCGGGTCGGGTTCGGGGACGGGACAAAAAAAATCCCCGACGGGACGCCCCGACATTCCTAATATTTATGCCGTTAAATATTAGTTTGATATCATTGGTCGCAAGATTATTATTTTTTTTATAAAAACATATGTAATAGAATATGCAATAGCACTGCTTGTATATCTTAACACCTGTTATTTTGCTTTCCTCTTTAACAATTTATCACTTTTTGAAACCAATATGACCTACAAAAAATTAAGGATTAATTTGACCAAAATTGTCAAATTTAAAGATCATTGTGTTTTAAGCCAACTTAAAAATCTCTCTCTCTCTCTATTTTTTTTAGGTTTGGAGTTAAACAATTACTCATTTGCGGTTCTTTTTCATCCTTTGATTTTTCCCATTTTAGTAATAGCTATATTTTGTTGAATGATTTTTTTTAAATGTATATGCACTAATTATTTTAATAAATATATGTAGATTTATTGATTCAGTATTCAATCCCCAAATAATATTTTTTAATTATTTTACTTAAAGATTTAAAAAGTAAATAATAATAATATTAATCATCCAAATATTTTAATAATTATTAATCAAATTAATATTGAATTAATTCCTCACAACAACTCTTTTAAGTAGGCGCGAACTCACGGAAATCTATTGAATCATCTGGTCCATTTATACTTTTTTCATCGTTTACTAAAGCCACCAATTATGTTTCTCCAGTGATTTGGGAAAAAACCGAGGATGAAGGTGAAGTAATGTACCAATCACGTGCCAGAAGCATAATTTCCTTCAGATTTTATGCTACAAATTTATTGGGCAACAGAACCATTAAACTTACGGCGGGTAGGTAGGTGGGACGAAGCCTCAAAAGCAACCAACCAAAGGCCCACCCACTCCTCCCCCACCACCATTTTTCTTTGGAAGATTCTTTATTATCTAATTTCTCCTCTATTTTATTCTGTTTGATATCTTTTATATTCGTTTTATAATTATTTACAAATTTTAGTTTTTTTTAAAATATAATGTACTTTATAATTGTATCTAACGATTTTTATTTTTTTTATTTGAATTGTAGTACCAAGGATTTGGTAGCCGTTTGAGAAAGAAAGAATTTGGTTTCTTTCTTTTACTATTTTAATTGCTCATTTATACATAAATAAATACAAAACTTCATGCTCAGGTGTCCATTCTTGACCCACCAACCCCTCTCGTGGAAATGCTCGTTAACAATTAACCGTCCGATTGTTGTCCAAGCTGATCTAAGCTTCAATCCCGACCCTTGAAATAACATTGATCGCTGTACTAGTACTACTACGGAATGTTCATTTTATTATTATTAAAGAAGAAGAAAGAAGTGGTTCAAAAAGAAATACTATAGTAATAAAATTTCATTCGTATTTTAACAAAGCGGATGCGTTAGGTGAGCTGAGCTCTTCTCCCTTTTTCATTTCTGGCCATCTCCTCGCCGATTCATTTCTTAGGAAAGAAAAAGCTATATTTTGTCTACGTTATTTCAAAAACAGGTACGCTTGTCTCACGTCCTTGATCTGATTTGAATTTCATCCATTTAGCGTTTCTTTCTCACTAACCGGCCTTTTTCTGATTTAGATTTCTCGATTTGTTGTAAATATAATTGTTTATTTTGATCTGAATCATTTGTTAGTAATGGAGTCTATGATTTATTTATTTTTTAGAACTGAAGATCCTCAGTTAGTGAGTTGAGAAATGCACTTTTACAGAAATCAGTGCTCAGATTACACTTTTCTTCGTCTTTGATTTTTATGCAACTCGGATTAGCTTTGCAGTTAATGAAATCATTAACAAATAATGTCGTTGTTTGTTGATCAGAGAAAAGAAACGTTGAGGAAAGATGTTGGGAGTAGTAAGGCAAAAGGTGAGTTCGGGGACGTTCCTGCAGTCCTGCCCACCCATGTATCTTTACTGAAAGTATCAGTTATGATAGGCTACTTTTCTAATGTATGAATATTTTGCTTATTCAGATGTTGGGGCAGTCCTTTCCGAAGATTCGTCCGGCTGTGTCAGTATTAAGAAGCTACTCATCAGCAGCAAAACAGGTGATTCTTTTCACCTCTTACTTCGTTGATGCATTTTTATAATCATTGCTAGTCTAATGCTATTAGATATCAAATTGCATACTGCAAGTGTTAACTTGTATTCTATAGAGTAGTCAGTAGAGTAGCTGTGTTTAATCTTATGAACTTTCCTAGAGATTACTTGCTTCAATTCATAAAATGAGAACTGAGATCCTCATTTCAGATTAGCTTACACATGCACACAGAAATGGTCATGCCTGTAGTTGTGCGTGCATGTAAATTAGTTTGCTTTTCTTTCTGGTATTGATAAAGGTCTTTTGTAATTATTAGTCTATGCTAAAGGCAAGGATTAGCTTTCATTGAGTATTGATTTTTTTTTTGGGGGCATGTAATGAACTATACGCACAGATGACTGTGAGAGAGGCATTGAACTCTGCTCTTGATGAGGAAATGTCAGCTGATCCGAAAGTCTTTTTGATGGGTGAAGAGGTCAGAAAGTGTATACTGGAACTATTTTTAATAATCCTAAACCTGGCTGTTCTTTTTGTTTTTATGCACATGCACATGCTTATGCTTTATTTATTTATTTCTAAATATAGGTCGGAGAATATCAGGGTGCATACAAGGTTAGCACTAAGAATAAATTTCTTATTTTTCCATGTATATTAGAGGCAATAGAAGCATTGTTACATCTGTCTGAGGATTGGCTTTTGTTTCAATCTCCTTTAGATATCCAAGGGGCTTTTAGAAAAGTATGGACCTGAGAGGGTTCGTGATACTCCAATTACTGAGGTTATTTTTTTTGCCATGTCTATTCTCTTCTTTAGTCCTTTTTCTTAATTTCATTATTATTTGATCGTATTAGTGGTCTCACATGCTTATTATATGTTTGTTTATTGATGAATTCTAGTATTATTTTGCACTATTTTCTGATCAAAATTGTTTTTTTCATAGGCTGTTTTTGCTGGGATTGGGGTTGGCACTGCTTACTACGGCCTGAAGCCTGTAGTGGAGTTTATGACATTTAACTTCTCCATGCAGGTTAGAGGGTTATGTTTTGAATCTCTGCTTACACTGCTAGTCGTTTGTTGACTTACAGTATGGATAAATTTTGAAATGGCTTCTGAATGGATTGATGTGCATGTCATGGAAAAGAAAGAAGAGATAAATCGATAATGTACCGTCATTTTCCTTTTGTTTTAAAGTGCAATGGAGTTAAAATTGCTACTGTGATGTGCTGTTGAAGTCTTAGAAGTTTGTATAAATGAAGTATGCTTGTTTTCCTTGATGCGTGACAACTGTTAGAACTCATACTGGCTGAATAACTAAGGATAATATACATTATGCATGTGTTATCTTGATCTACTCTTTCTATATCAACAAGATGCAGCAATAAATTAAATTCTCAATGTGGTTGTAGGTTTACAATTGAAAAATGTAAATGAAAGTGATGGTTTATTGCATCAGCATGTTAACCTCTTTATCTGTAATTGGTTCTTATTCTTGTGGTTCTGATTAAAGACACCAAATTATGTTATTGGAATACAAGTTTGTTTAGCTGTAACTTATTCTCAGTTCTTGTTAAATTTTGTAATTGTCTCGGGTGATTATGTGCTTGCTTTGAGTCAAAACCCTGGCATTAAGACAAGCTAACATGAACTTTTCTCTATAGAAATATGAGATCTTTAGAGTTCTTCTGGTAACCATTTGCTGTGAAAGATGCCGTAGCTTTTGAAACTATGATTTGATTTCCCTTCTACTTGGATCTTACATTCCAATGTTCAAGAGTATAAGTGGTTCTGATATCATTTTAGTTCAAGAATATAAGTGGTTATGGTATCTTTTTAACTTTTGCAACATTGTTTATACTTGGACAACTGTATTTTGTTTAACCAATATGTAAAATTAGTGTGTTTGCTAGAATTTCACAAATTTAAAGCTAAATTAATATTGACCTTTCCATTGTAGGAAGCAACTTAAATGACTTAGGTTACTCTTAAACGTGCATGTAGGACTTTATTCTGGTGCACAAATTTCTCTGATCTGTTTCTGGATTTTATTGCAGGCAATTGACCACATTATTAACTCCGCTGCAAAGTCCAACTACATGTCTGCTGGCCAGATGTCTGTACCCATTGTGTCACGATAGGGAGAGAAGAGAGAAGAAGCGAAGGAGACAAAGAGGAAATTGGGGGAAATGGAAATCAAGGGTTAGGGATTGATAATGAATTGGGGAGGAGTTACCTGATTAATGATCACGTGAGAAGCACAAGGAGAGGAGAGAATTATCATCAGGAGAGCTGAGTCCAAGAGCAAGCAGTCAGCCCAGTGGGGAGCCCAATACCTGAAAAAAATAACAAAGCGGTTATGCAGGAATCTACAGCTGGCATTTAGTTAGGATTGTTGGTACCTTGTAAACAAATAAAACAACGTACTGTGTAAAGGCAATCAGGCATATTTTGAATGAAATCCTATTTCTGAATCTCTATTCTACTCTTTTCTCTACGCTTTCTTCTTCTCTAATTCCTTAAACTATCTCAATTCATCACAAATTGGTATCGAGAGCCTCGGATTCTGGCAAGCGGTGGAATGACCAAGAAAAATCAGAATATGGCAGAAGACTTAACTGGGTTGCAGAAGCATATGGAAGAATTGACAGCGCTGGTGAAACAAGGACAAGATGAGTCTAAGCCACCAAAATGGTGGGAGACTCAGGAAGAGAGGATTTCTACACTGGAGTCTAGATTGGCTACAAATCATGGATATGTGGAAGAAATTTTGAAGATTCTGACTGGTAGAAAGGAGGACCAAAATCAGTTTGAGGATCAGGTACAGACCCCGGATTCATCTAATATGAGTAACAAACAACCTATTAAGGTGACAGTAATCAATGATAAGACTAGGTTTACTTATAAACCGGATGAACCTGGTATTCTTAAGTCTAAACCAAACGTCTTGCCTGCTCATATAGCTAGCTTCAAAAATGATAACCAAATGGGGGAGAACAGTGCTGCTAGAACTCAGTTAATGGCTTTAGAAGAGGATAAAAGAGGTACAAGGGGGTCTTCTAGTATGTCAGGGATTATGCTGCACAGACCCAAAATTGAGCTACCTTTTTTTGAGGGAAGTAATCCAAGAGGTTGGTTACAGAAATGTAAAATATTTTTCATTATGTAGTATTGCTGATGAACAGAAAGTGGAAGTAGCTACAATGTACTTGACAGGTAAAGCAGAAATTTGGTTTGATGGGTATATTATGCAAAAACATCATGTGACTTGGCATGAGTTTGAGGCAGATTTATGTCATAGGTTCTGTGATAAAGCCTTTGTTGATATAGTAGAGGAGTTTACAAAACTAGTCCAGAAAGGGTCTGTAGAGGAGTATCAAGACAGATTTGAAGAACTACAACCTCACATGCTTCTGCAGAATCCTACTTTAGGTGAGGAATTTTTTGTCTCTTTGTTCATTAGTGGACTAAGGGATGACATTAAACATAGAATTAAAGCTCTAGACCCTAAAACATTGTCTGAGGCAAGCAGGCAAGCTAAATTATATGAGCTTTCTGTGGAATTTGAGAGCAAGAAGTTCAGACCTTTTGTTAAAAACCCAGCTTATTCAATTCCTATATATGGTTCTAAGCCTAACCAGCTGCTATCACCACAGAAAAATACAACCAATACTCCACAAAAACAGAACTTGATAGACTACAGAAGACAGAATAATTTATGCTTCAAGTGTGGTGAAAAATTTAGTCCAGGCCATCAGTGTAAGGTTAAACAGTTGAATATGATGATTGAGGAGGACAGTGTTATACCTTCGGAAATGTTACCTAATGATCTAGAACAACAGAATATACAGGAGGAGGAGAGCCTAGAGATATCAATGAATGCTATCACTGGGTGTATTGGTCATAATACATTAAGGATTCAGGGTACTATTCAAGGGAGACCATTGAATATTTTGATCGACAGTGGTAGTACCCACAGTTTCTTAACACCTCAGTGGGCTAATGCTGGTATTCTAATAAATACACCTTATCCTTTGGCTATTACAGTGGCTAATAGACAGCAACTTTATAGTTCAGCTAGGTGTAATAAGGTTGAATGGCAGATGCAAGGACATTCTTTTGGTCATGACTTTAGACTCCTAAAATTGGGTGGCAGTGATATGGTGTTAGGGGTTGATTGGATGAAGTTATTCAGTCCAATTTTGATGGACTTCAACAAATTGACTCTTAGTTTTGTCCACCAAGATGAAAACATTGTTATACATGGTCAGCAAACCTCAAATGTTTTGCAACAAATTTCAGGGGCTACACTGTTAAAAATGACAGCCTCTGATTCTGCTATTTTTTGACATTGGGTACTGTTATCTATGTCTGAGGATTCTAAGACTGTTCCTGCAACTCTACAACCCCTCTTAGACAAATATCAGTCTGTTTTTGATGAACCTACAGGTCTGCCACCTATAAGGAATCATGATCATGCAATTACTTTAAAACCTGAGTCTGCTCCTATAAATTTAAGACCTTACAGATTTCCACATAATCAGAAGGAAGAAGTGGAAAAACAGATAGCTACTATGCTCTCATCTTCTATTATTCAACCTAGTAAAAGTCCTTTTGCTTCTCCTTGTCTTCTTATAAAGAAGAAGGATGGGACTTGGAGATTCTGTGTTGATTACAGAAAGTTAAATAGTATGACTGTGAAGGACAAGTTTCCTATTCCTGTTGTGGAGGATCTCTTAGATGAATTACATGGAGCAGTTTACTTTTCTAAGATTGATCTCAGGTCTGGTTATTGGCAAATCAGAATTAAAGCTGAGGATATTTACAAGACAGCTTTCAGAACTCATCAGGGTCATTATGAATTCAAGGTAATGCCTTTTGGACTTACTAATGCCCCTGCTACATTTCAAGCTCTAATGAATGAATTGTTTAGTTCATTTATTCGAAAATTTGTCTTGGTATTTTTTGATGATATCCTAGTCTACATCACTTCTATGAAGGATCATATTACTCATTTAGGACTGGTTTTGGCGATATTGCAAACTAACCAGTTATTTGCTAAGATGTCCAAATGTTTCTTTGGACAGACTCAGGTAGAGTATTTGGGTCATATTATATCAGCTGCTGGAGTTTCAACTGATCCTACTAAGGTGGAAGCTATGAGGAATTGGCCTATTCCTAAATCTTTAAAGTCTTTGCGAGGATTTTTGGGATTGACAGGATATTACAGGAGATTTATAAAGAATTATGGAACTATCAGTAAACCATTGACACAACTGCTTAAGAAGGATAATTTTAAATGGAACAGTGAAGCTTTACATGCTTTTGAAGACTTGAAACAAGCCATGTGTGTTGCTCCAGTTCTAGCTTTACCAGATTTTACTAAGCAGTTTTATTTGGAAACAGATGCCAGTTCAGGAGGCATTGGAGCAGTTCTAACTCAGGAGGGCAGACCTATTGCCTACCTTAGTAAGGCTCTTAGCCCTAGACATGCTGCACTCTCCATATATGAAAGAGAGTACTTGGCTATTTTACTAGCAGTCTCTAAATGGAGGCATTATCTAGAGAGCACTCCTTTTATTATTAAAACAGATCATGAACCTCTTAAATATCTGTTGGAGCAGAAGTTAACCACTGCCATTCAAAAGAAGGGGTTAACTAAATTATTGGGCTTGGATTATGCTATTCAATACAGAAAAGGTAAATCCAACATAGTGGCTGATGCACTCTCTAGACAATGGGAAGATCAAGCTCACTGTTTTACAATGGGTACTACCTTGGTGATTCCTAGTTGGGTTCAACAGGTTGAGGACAGCTATAAGGAGGATTCAGTAGCTACTGAATGGATCTCTGTACTAACTGTCAATCCTAATGCAGATTCTAGATGGAAATACTCTAGAGGTATCCTTCGATTTAAGGATAGAGTTTATATTGGGGTTGTTGGAACTCTAAGATTGCAGATTCTTCAAACCCTACATGATTCACCTCATGGAGGACATTCAGGAATTCAGGCTACTTATCAGAAGATTAAAGCTTGTTTCTACTGGCCCAAGTTGAAATCTATGGTGGCAACTTATATCAGGTCTTGTTCTGTATGTCAACAGATTAAAGTGGAGCATGTTCCTAAACCAGGGCTTTTACAGCCATTACCTATTCCTCAGCAGGCTTGGGAGGTAATCACTATGGATTTTATAGAGGGTTTACCTAAATCCTGGCGAAAGAATTGCATTCTGGTAGTAGTTGATAAATTTACCAAATATAGCCATTTTTTAGCATTATCACATCCTTATTCTGCAGTTGATGTGGCTAAACTATATTTGGATAATGTCTATAAGCTTCATGGACAGCCTAAATTAGCTATTTCTGACAGAGACAAAACATTCACTAGTCTCTTTTGGGGAGAGCTAATGAAACAATTGGGGTCTAAAACACTATTTAGTACTGCTTACCATCCAGAGACTGATGGTCAAACAGAAAGGGTTAACCAGTGTTTGGAGCAATACCTACGGAGCTTATGTTTTTTTCAACCAAGACATTGGGCTAAATGGTTGTCTCATGCATAATGGTGGTATAATACTACCTACCATTCTGCCCTAAAGATTACACCCTTTCAAGCACTTTATGGGTACAAACCACCTACTATGATCTGTCAATGAATTAATGCGCAACAGAGAGGATATGCGAATGTTAGTTAAGGAACAACTTGAGATTGCAAGTAACAGAATGAAACAAAAAGCAGACAAGCACAGATCAGAAAGAGTTTTTGAAGTTGGGGATTCTGTTTACCTGAAGCTGCAACCTTATCGACAGACGACATTAGCCCTGCGAAAGAATTTAAAGTTAGCAGCGAAGTTCTATGGGCCATATAAGATTACAGAAAGAATCGGGGAAGTTGCTTATCGCTTGAGCTTACCTGAGACATCGAGGTTGCATCCTGTCTTTCATGTCAGTCTTTTGAAGAAACATATTGGAGACTCTGTCGTTTCCTCTACGGATCATCCTGTCATGGATACAGAAGATCAGTTCAAAATAGAGCCATATAGAATTTTGGGACGACGAATCATTAATCGTCAAAACAAACCAGTGACTCAGTTGTTGGTACGAAGGACAAACCTTGACGAAACACACGATACTTGGGAGGATTATACTGTCCTTCGCGGCCAGTTTCCAGGCTTTGATCCTTGGGGACAAGGATCGTCTCCAGCGGCGGGTATTGTCACGATAGGGAGAGAAGAGAGAAGAAGCGAAGGAGACGAAGAGGAAATTGGGGGAAATGGAAATCAAGGGTTAGGGATTGATAATGAATTGGGGAGGAGTTACCTGATTAATGATCACGTGAGAAGCACAAGGAGAGGAGAGAATTACCATCAGGAGAGCTGAGTCCAAGAGCAAGCAGTCAGCTCAGTGGGGAGCCCAATACCTGAAAAAAATAACAAAGAGGTTATGCAGGAATCTACAGCTGGCATTTAGTTAGGATTGTTGGTACCTTGTAAACAAATAAAACAACGTACTGTGTAAAGGCAATCAGGCATATTTTGAATGAAATCCTATTTCTGAATCTCTATTCTACTCTTTTCTCTACGCTTTCTTCTTCTCTAATTCCTTAAACTATCTCAATTCATCACACATTGTTTTTAGAGGACCTAACGGCGCAGCTGCTGGTGTAGGTGCCCAACACTCTCAGGTATAGTTTCTGCATTCTGTTACTCTCACTCTTTGTTTAGCTTATTTACATGTATTTACTCACCCCGTTCCCTAGATCATACTTAGGTTGACGAATGATTTTTTTCATATGTTCTGTGATTACTGCTTCATGCTTAATTATTTAAATTTTATAGAGGTGTAGCTAGGCTTCAATATAGGAAGAAGATGCTTGATTGATTATTTTGTTTTCTTGGTTACTCTAGTGTTATGCAGCATGGTATGCTTCTTGTCCTGGATTGAAAGTGCTGACACCATACAGTTCTGAAGATGCTCGTGGGATGCTCAAAGCTGCTATTAGAGATCCTGACCCAGTTGTTTTCCTTGAAAATGAGTTGTTGTAAGTGAATTGATGAAATATGATTCTTATATATTTGGGTCCCCATACCACTGTTTCCCCTTTCAGTTAGAATTTTGATGACAAACATTGCTCTGATATAATCATTTTGCTTTAGATATGGTGAACCATTCCCTGTTTCTGATGAAGTTCTTGATTCCAGTTTCTGCCTTCCAATTGGGAAAGCTAAGGTAATGCTATGATGCCCCAAAATTTTAGCATAACTGTTGTTATTATTACTATTACCGATGTTTCTGTAATCAGTGATTCTACATAACTCATGATGCTACGTTTTAATAGAATTTAAATTTAGTTTTTAATGGCCTACTAACAGATAGAAAGAGTAGGAAGAGATGTGACTATTACAGCCTTTTCAAAAATGGTGGGCCACGCTCTTAAGGTATGTCTTGTATGCAATATCTTTTTGAATATGTTGTACGTACTTATCATTTGAGATAGATTGTAAATGTAAGTAAACATGATTCCCTAGTGAAAAATAAACTATTAATCTAAGTGAAGAATGGAAAATGCCACATCCTCATGTTTTCATGTAGGATATGTATCCCACATTGACACCTATTTGACGTGACCAAATATGTTGTTATGTATGGCTCATAAAAAGTCTCGTTGTGGGGTTACGAATTATGTGGGTTGGGGGTGTGGGGGCGCAGCCCCCGCGGTACGGTACAGGGTTGATTTTGTAATTATGTACCAGGGTTTTCTATTATAAATAGAGATGTAACCTAGACCTAAAATATCATTGAATAAAACTTCTAGCGCCGCCTAGGCACCGAGGACGTAAGCACATTGCCGAACCTCGTAAAATTCTCGTGTTCTTTCGTTTTCTTTACCCGTTTTCGTCAACAATTGGTATCAGATGTCAGGAGCAAAATTCGAAGTCGCGAAATTCGATGGTCAGGGTAACTTCGGATTATGGCAAACGAGGGTGAAGGATCTATTGGCGCAGCAAGGGATCTTGAAGGCTTTGCGACCTACAAAGCCGGCGTCGATGGATGAGGAAGATTGGGAAGAATTGCAGCAGCGAGCGGCAGGAACCATACGATTATGCTTGGCGGACGAGGTCATGTATCACGTCATGCATCTATCGTCTCCAGACGAAATTTGGAGGAAGTTGGAAAGTCAGTTTATGTCCAAATCCTTAACGACAAAACTGTATCTGAAGCAGCGGTTGTTTGGGCTGAAGATGCAGGACGATCACGATTTGGCGCAACACGTGAATGTCTTCAATCAAATCGTTTCTGATCTGGCTCGGCTTGATGTGAAAATTGAGGATGAAGACAGAGCGATGATTCTGTTGTGTTCGTTGCCTTCCTCTTACGAACACATGGTGACTACTCTTACATATGGGAAAGAGACTATCAATGTTGAGGAGATTACTGCAGCCTTGTTGGCTCACAACCAGCGGAAGCAGAATGCAGGGGAAAGCTCTCAAGCCGATAGCTTATATGTCAAGGGTAATCGAGATCGTGGACGGAAGCCAGAGAAGGCAGGGTCCGGGAAGCGGAATTCCAGATCCAAATCCAGGGATAAGAAGACGATTCACTGTTACAAGTGCAAGGAGGCGGGACATATGAAGCGAGACTGTCCGAAGTTGAAAAAGCAGACCGATGAGAAGCGTGATGGCTCATCCAAGTCTGTGAACGTGGTCGAGGATGATACTTCTGATTGCAGTGAGGGTGATATGCTTTCTATTTCAACGACACAATTGACGGATGCTTGGATTCTTGATTCTGGATGTTCTTATCACATCACGCCAAATAGGGAATGGTTTTCGACATACAGGCCGGTTAATTCTGGTTCGGTTTATTTGGGTGATGATCGATGTTGCAATATTGTTGGTATTGGTGATGTCAGAATTAAGATGCATGATGGCTCCGTTCGGACGTTGAGTGGTGTTCGACATATCCCAGACTTGAAGAAGAATTTGATTTCCTTGGGCACTTTGCACAAGAATGGTTTTATCCCTAAGGCTGACGAGGATAGGGAAACCATTCGGATTGTTAAAGGAGCATTGACTGTGATGAAAGGCAAGATGACTGCAGGGAATATCTACAGATTGTTAGGGAGTACCGTTGCAGGTGGAGTTCACTCTGTTGAGTCCTGTGATGATACGACAAAATTGTGGCATATGCGCCTTGCTCATCTTAGTGAACGTGGTATGGCAGAATTACACAAGAGAAACTTGTTGCATGGTGTCAAAAGCTGTAAGCTCGACTTTTGCAAGTATTGTGTTCTTGGTAAACAGACTAAAGTCCGTTTCAAGACTGCGAAGCACACAACTCAAGGGATTCTTGATTATGTGCATTCTGATGTATGGGGCCTTCCACGACATCGTCTTTGGGTGGATCTAGGTACTATGTTACTTTTATGATGATTTTTCACGGAAAGTTTGGGTGTATTTTTTGAAACAGAAATCTGAAGTTTTTGAGAAGTTCAAGCTGTGGAAAGCTGAGGTAGAAAACCAAACAGGACGAAAATCAAGTGTTTGCGGTCTGACAATGGTACGGAGTACACAGATTCACAGTTCCTACAATTCTGTAAGGAGCATGGATTCAGAGGCATTTTACAGTGCGCAAGACACCACAACAGAATGGTGTTGCGGAACGAATGAACAGGTCGTTGAATGAAAGAGCCAGATGTTTGCGGTTGAATGCGGGGCTTCCCAAACACTTCTGGGCTGAGGCTGTTAACATGGCGTGTTACCTTATCAACAGATCGCCAAGGGCATCGCTGGCTGGGAAAGTTGCAGAAGAGGTATGGACTGGTCATGATGTTAGTTTTGATAACTTACGGATTTTTGGTTGTCCTGCTTATGTGCATGTACTTGCTGATGAGAGATCCAAACTTGATGCAAAATCGAAGGAGTGTATTTTTCTGGGTTACAAGAAAGGTGTCAAAGGATTCAAGTTCTGGGATCCAGTTGCGAAGAAAGTTGTGATTAGTAGAGATGTCGTTTTTGATGAACAGTCTATGTTGCAGCAGAAGCAAGACACGACAGTGGTAGATTTCGAGCAGTTTCCAGTTGAGAAACCAGAAACTTCTCAACCGACTTCTGGTGGTTCCACTACGGATGATTTGCAGGATTATAGTCTCGCCAGAGACAGTGTGAGACGGACGAATATAAAGCCTCCGAACAGATTGGGTTTTGAAGACTTGGTATCTTTTGCACTTACTGTTAGCAGTGATGATCCAGTTACTTTTCATGATGCCGTTACTAGTCAGGAAAACGACAAGTGGATGGCAGCCATGGTTGAGGAGATGGAGTCTTTGAATCACAATCGCACATGGGAGTTAGTTCCCCTTCCTGAGGGTAAGAAGCCGATTGGTTGCAAATGGGTGTATAAGAAGAAACCAGCAGTAACAGAAAAAGAGGGGAGAAGTTCAAGGCTCGTTTGGTAGCGAAGGGTTTTTCACAGCAGAAAGGAGTTGAATATGATGAAATCTTTTCTCCTGTGGTCAGGCACACTTCAATCCGAGCAGTACTTGCATTGGTAGCTAGTTGGGATTTGCATTTAGAGCAGATGGATGTTAAAACTGCTTTTTTGCATGGTGATTTAGAGGCAGATCTACATGCGGCAACCTGAAGGTTTCACTCAACCTGGAAACGAGCATTTAGTTTGCAGATTGAAGAAATCTTTGTACGGGTTAAACAGTCTCCGAGACAGTGGTATAAACGGTTTGACTCCTATATGATCAAGATTGGCTACAACCGATGTGAGTATGATTGTTGTGTCTATGTTAAGAGCCTTGATGATGGTTCTTTTATTTTTCTATTACTGTATGTTGATGATATGTTGATTGCTGCGAAGAACATGGATGATGTTATCGGTTTGAAAACTTTATTGAGTCAGGAATTTGATATGAAAGATTTAGGTGCTGCAAAGAAAATTATTGGAATGGAAATTTGCAGGGACAGAGACTCAAGGAAACTGCGGCTATCTCAACGGGGTTATGTTGAGAAAATGCTAGAAAGGTTTGCGATGAGCAGCGCAAAACCAGTTAGCACTCCATTGGCGAATCACTTTAAGCTCTCATCAGAACAGTGCCCCAAGACAGATAAGGAAGCTGAAGATATGGCAAAGGTTCCGTATCTAATGCTGTTGGCTGCTTGATGTATGCGATGGTATGTACTAGTCCTGATTTAGCTCATGCTGTTAGTCAAGTTTGTAAGTACATGTCTAAACCTGGTAAGCAACATTGGGAAGCAGTCAAGTGGATCTTTCGGTACTTAAAGGGTACTGTGGGACATGGAATTGTTTTTGGGAGTCAACGGATAACCCTTTGGTTGTAGGATATGTGGATTCAGATTATGCAGGTGACTTGGATAATAGAAGATCTACGACAGGGTATGTGTTTACTCTTGGTGGAGGGCCTATTTGCTGGAAGTCTACTGTTCAATCTGTCGTGGCACTATCTACAACTGAAGCTGAATACATGGCAGCGGCTGAAGCTGCAAAAGAAGCTTTATGGCTTACTGGTTTAGTGAAGGAGTTGGGTGTTCAACAAGGTGGAGTTCAGTTGCTTTGTGATAATCAAAGTGCTATTCACTTGGCTAAGAATCAGGTGTATCGTGCTAGAACTAAACATATTGATGTAAGGTTCCACAAGATCAGAGAGTTGGTTGCATCTGGAGAGGTTTTGTTTCAGAAGGTACATACTGATGAGAATGCCGCTGATATGTTCACCAAGCCAGTTACGACAGACAAGTTCAAGCATTGCTTGGACTTGTTGAATGTTTCGAGTTGTTAAAGAAGCAAGGTAACCCAACCCACATTGAAGTTTCCAAGGGGCAGGATATTCGCCAAGGTGGAGATTTGTTATGTATGGCTCATAAAAAGTCTCGTTGTGGGGTTACGAATTATGTGGGTTGGGGGTGTGGGGGCGCAGCCCCCGCGGTACGGTACAGGGTTGATTTTGTAATTATGTACCAGGGTTTTCTATTATAAATAGAGATGTAACCTAGACCTAAAATATCATTGAATAAAACTTCTAGCGCCACCTAGGCACCGAGGACGTAAGCACATTGCCGAACCTCGTAAAATTCTCGTGTTCTTTCGTTTTCTTTACCCGTTTTCGTCAACATATGTGTCGGTATTACTGGTGCCGGATACACCAAAAAAACTAAAGGAAAAGCAAAATTCTATCGAACATGGCATGGATGTGGCAATGAAGGGGCAAAAGGTTCTTGCCCATGGTAGTGAAGATACAAAAAAATGTCACTGCAAAATAGAAAAGGAAAGAGAAACATTTGAGAACAAACTAATCCTTTCCTTTTTGTCTTAGATGGAGTTTATCTTTGTGAACGAGACTTCATTTACTGATTGAAAGTTTGATAGAAGAAGTGAAAGGAAATGAGTACAATCTTCGGCTTTCTTAAATAGCTTATAAGCCTACTGGGCCCAATTTGTTAATAATATAATTCACTGCTGATAGTGACTGAGGTAGGCACTTCATTTATCTACTGCACTGCAGGCTCTTGTGATTAGGTCTTGTGATTAGTTATACTATCTTCTAATCTGTGGCGTCAAGAACTGCCTAAAATATGGTGTGAAATAGGTCCTTTCGATTGAAGGAATTAAATATGAGTGCAAATCTAGATATTAGAGCTTAGTGCTCTTGTTAATGGGCGTCCTGTATCATGCTGCACTGCTTAGTTCTTTCTCCTTGTTTGTATTCTCCTGGAAATCTAATTATATAGCATGTTGGACTTATAAACTAATAGAATATTTGTTGTTCAGGCAGCTGAGATACTTGAAAAGGATGGAATTGATGCTGAGGTAAAATATATAAGACGAAGAAGTCATATCCTTACAAGTTGATTTGATCATTCTTTAAAATGCAATGGCTGGTTTTGTTACGTACAGGTTATAAATTTGCGTTCTATTAGGCCGCTAGACAGATCAGCAATTAATGCTTCCGTCAGGAAAACCAACAGATTAATAACAGTTGAAGAAGGGTTTCCGCAGCATGGTGTTGGTGCAGAAATCTGGTTCGAGTTCTTTTCTTGTCGATCATTTAATTTCTGCTTACCAAACATTCTGGTACCTTTTATATTTACAATGCATACTTCTTTCACAGTGCATCGGTTGTGGAGGAGAGTTTTGCTTATCTTGATGCACCGGTTGAGAGAATTGCTGGAGCTGATATTCCCATGCCATATGCAGCGAATCTTGAGAGAATGGCTGTGCCACAGGTAATTCCATTTCCTTGTATTTTAACTTGTTTTTCTGACAACGAGGATCTTTAAAGCTGCTCCTTCTCCTCCTCAATACAACCTTTTGCAAAAACCCTCTAGTTCGATGGCCGCATGGATGCTATATTTGTACAATTATCACTATGTACCTATAGGTTAATATTCTTTTTCTTCTGTGAATTCTGCAGGTTGAAGATATAGTCCGTGCTGCAAAGAGAGCATGCTACAGATCTGTACCACTTGCTGCTGCTGCATGATCGAACCAATCTAGGTCAAAATTTCAGTTCTCGCCGTTTGCATGACGTTTTTTTTTCCTTGTTGCTTGTAGTGTTTAACTTCTACATTGCCTTGGGCCTGTGTATCTATTTCAGGGAATTAGAGGAATACGCGATTTTTTACCTTCTCAAGTGTCTTGGGGAGAGGCAGGTTCATTTAATAACCGAGACATTGTTAGAAAAGGCTGGAAATTGGGTGACTTCATTTGTGATGTGAACCCTGCTGAAGCCCAAGGTTCTATGTTTTTGTGATGCGAAGGGCTCTGCTACTGTTTATGTTGGTTCAGTTGAATGATTTTTAAAATGAATGCATTGATTTGATGTTTTGTTTGGGAATCACTACCAAGTAGTAATAAAAGGATCACCATTTACCCCTCTTTTTCCTACCCTATACTTTTCGTTACAGCTCTTAGCAGTAATGAAAATCGAATGAATTTAGTTGAAGTGGTTAAAAACAAGTTTAAGAAGTTCACTCAGATTGAATCAACAAAAATGGTTTTATATGTGATTTTTTAAAATTTTGCTTGTGATTGGTGAGATATGAGATTTTAATTGTTTTAGTTTTCTGTTTAATATTTATTTAACATTAAGGGTGTGGCTTTTTAAATTTCTTTTAGGAATGATTAAAACGACCAGAATCTAATACTCATTCCTTTTTAGTTTTTTCATTTCTTGGGATTATGTAGGTGTGACATAAGTCTTCGATCACTCAGAAAGTGTATGTTTAGAATGTTACATTTAAATACTTAAAGAAAATTATATAAATAATATAATATTTCAGTTTTTTATTTGATTTTGAGTTGTCAAAAGAAATTAATTTAATTAGACTCATATTAATTATTGAACTAAAATCCCAAATATTTTATAAGATAATAATTATCTTTAATTATCATATTCTTCATTTAAAACAGTTTTTTAATACAAAAGATATCATAGTATAGATTTTTTAGAATCTTTTGTTCTCTTCATTTACTCTTGAAACTATTTTTACCGACCATTAACATCATCGTATGAATTATCATTCACCTCCGTTTAACGAGAATTAGTCCCACGAATGATTAATGTGAAAGGGAACGAAAACAAAAAATGAAGAAAAAGAAACGAAACTCGGATGGCGGTGGCCGAAATTGAAATTGAAACTGAAACAGGGAGAATAACAGTAACAGAAAACACTTATTTCCTGGTCCTATACTTAACCCCCACGAAACACGGTTTATTGACCAAACCCTTTCTGCTGAGTGCGGCCATCTTTTTTCCGTGCTTTTCAGTTTTTTCTCTTAATATCCACAGTTAAATAATTAACAATAATGAAGAATTGACTTTGAAATTATGATACTGTTTTCTTTTATCTTTATTATATTTCCATATTGATTACAAAACCGTTTGGGGGTAGCGAATTAAGAAAAAGTGATGGATCGCATGCGAATAGAGTGATGGATGTATGCGAATGGAGCAAATTGGATCGGGAGGGTCATCTTTGTCTCTGTAGTATCTGATATAGATTAGTCGGTTAATAAATCGGATATCAGTTATTAAGAAAGAGTAAATTAGCTGATCACATTCTCATATATAATGAGGTAAGGGGAGGTAGGATAGTAGAATGCCCCCAATGCCAGGTTGAGAGTAACTTCCATGGGAGACCTCCGGTTATGAATTGTCCACCGTGAAACTCGATCTCACGACCACAAGGTTAAGAGTCTTGCGCTCTACCAACTGAGCTGGAGCAAATTTGTGTGTTCCTTATTTTTTAAAAATAAAATAATACACTCTTGATAAATAATATTACAGTAATTTCTTAATTTCTTGTCAAGTGTTTTCATAAATTAGATAGACAAACCAGGTTAGATAATGAAAAATATCACTCCAAACGAGTGAATTTCAATTTTTTACTTGCGTTAAACGTTATAAATTAAAATCGGCATAATAACAAAAAATGTTCCCAACATTTAATTAACTAGTTACTTTGGTCCTTTTTTTTAGTATTTTGGTCTCTAATATTTTATTTTTGGGCAAAAAGGTCCTTATGTGAATGAAAATTGTTAGTTAACAAACTATCAACGTTTCATAATAGGGGTATTTTTTTAAAATGAAATGTTGAAACCAAAGTACTTCAGAAAAGAATAGGGGTTAAAATGATTATTTAATCAAATATTAATAACTTTTTTACCCTAAAATAAAATATTAAAATACAAAACATTCTTTAAAAATATTATTATTTAATATAAAATAATTGAAAATATAAAATAAAAATAGAAAGTGGTTAGACGCCACCACCGACCACCACCGATCGTTGTAGATGGTGGCCATTCGGTCCCAAATTTCATGGGTCGTTTCGTCTTGATACCTTAAGTCTGAATCCACCCTCCATTTGTCATAACTTACTCTGAAGTCCACAAATTGGAGATTGAAAGTAAGGAAGTTGAAACGTTTCAGTCGAGGTTCATAGATTTTGAGACATTTTATGGTGAAACAACCACCAGATTCGAACTCAGGTGGTCGAGACGAACTGAACAACCACTATATACGACGGTCGACTATGGCCGACGGTAGCGTCCAACCATCTTATGTTTTTATTTTATATTTTCAATTATTTTATATTAAATAATAATAATAAAGGCCTCATCGTACAAAAAATAATAAAATAATTTAGAATGATCATAAAGGAGTAATTCAAAAATTTAGTGAGTAAATTAGAAAAAATTGAAAGTACGATGAGAAAAACAAGAGATAAAGTATAGTTCATTAAGGAATAGTATATTTTACCCTTAAAAAATATAGAGTCAAATTATCATTATAATTCATTAAAGAAATGGATTATTGACTTTTGACTACTCGTTCTGTTTTTATTTTCAAATCGAATTCTCCATTTGATAAAACATAGGGTAAATTACAAATTTAATATTTAAACTATCAGTTTTATTTTGTTTTAGCACCTAAACTTTCATTTGTTTCAGAATCATATTTAACATTTAATTTTTGTTTTATTTTAACACCCTACCATTAAAAACTTAACGGAACTACCACACATGACAATTTTTATGGATAAATTATATAATGTATCACTTAACTATCTTCTCACTGTTATTTGGTCACTAAAGTTAAACAAATTTCAATTTAATTACTCAACTTTTAAATTACTTTTATTTTAATCATTATAATTTATTTTATTAATAATTTTTGTGTGACATGAAATTTTTATTATTATTTTATTAATATATAATTAAAATATTTTTTTTGAAAGTTAGAGTGGTTAAGAGTAATTTGAAAGTTAAGTAATTAAGTTAAAAAATTAAACTTTAGTGACTAAAATAAAAGTGAGAAGATAATTGAATGAAAAATGATATAATTTACCGATAAAAATACAATGTTTTAACAGTTTGCTAAAATTTTAACCACGAGGTACTAAAATGAAACAAAAAGTAAACATTAAATATGATTTTAAACTAAATGAAAGTTTAGGTATAAAAATGAAATAAAATTAATAGTTTAGGTTATAAACGTGTATTTTACCCTAAACTATATTACTATTTATAATATATCTTAATAATTGGGGGGGGGGGTGGGAACACGAAGAAGTCAAGAAAGAGCAGATTCCAGGGTAGAAACCATATACGTAGGCGACTTGATTTTTTATAAGCTCTAGTACTCAATTAATGAAAGCACTGCGAAGTTGAAAGAAGAAACATAAACAAAGAGGAGAAGAAGAAGTTTGGGGGATATTTGTTCTGCAATTTTGGAAACTGAATCGAGCATCTTTTTTGAGGTAGAAGAAAATGAAGACTTCTTTCAGAAGACTGCGAGGGTTAGCACATCACAAGCACGACGGTGAAGCCAAGGAGCGAGCAGATATTTTAGCTTTGCCTCAACTCGACGAGCTCGCTCAAGCTTCCCAGGTCTCTCATCTTCATTTCTCTTTAAATTCTTTAAACCTTCAATTAGGGTTTTCTCTCTTATTGGGGATGAACTCATATAATTGAAGGATGGTGATTTTGTAGTTGATGTTAAAGCTTATTCATCTAGGTTGTTTTATGATTTGCAGGATATGCAGGATATAAGAGATTGCTATGACAACTTACTTGCTGCAGCTGCAGCAACTGCGAATTGTGCTTACGGTAGTTAATTCACATGTTTTCTTGCGTTTGTCAATATGTTGTATATCTTGTTTAATTTTCAGTAAAATAACTTTTTTTTTTGCTGGTAGTCATTTATGCTATGTTTAGAGATATGGATTTGAGAATTCGGATTTAGATTTTATTTGATATATAGATTATGAGAATGAAACATACATTGTATAAATCAGTTAAGGTTTTGATATGCTTAATGTTTGAAAGGTTTATAAATATGAATTTCAAGTTCTTAAATAATTATATGTATACAGAGTTCACCACTAAATATGCAACTAACACTTGCATGTCTTTTCTATTCTCAGAATTCTCAGAATCATTGCGTGATATGGGGAGTTGTCTTCTTGCGAAAACTGCATTGAATGATGATGAAGAAAGTGGTAAGTAAATATGTTTTGCTATACTTTTGATCTCAGTGTTGCCGATGAACATGACCAAATAACAGATGACTTTCAGTGTAAGACCTTACATTTGAACTCATTACCTTTCCAGTAAATAAGATTTTCCACCACAAACTGCCAGTTTTAAAGTACTTCTTGAATTTTAATTGAATCAAGTAAAAGTCTTAGCTTATTCAGTTTTTTTACATCCAAATTTGCATTGCATCCTTACAGTTAGTACCTTAAGTCACTCATGTTTTAGTAAGATGATGGTTTGTTCCTTCTGTAAATATGATAGCATAGAAACCATTTGACCTGCTTGGGTACATCCAGATAGAATGCATTTCATTTCTTATTGAATAAAACACAAGCTCTGTTATAGTAAACCATTTCAGAAATGGATGTCTGAAAATAAGCTGCTTTTGTTCCTGGGCAGGCAAAGTATTACTAATGCTTGGAAAAGTACAGTTCAAACTCCAGAAACTTATTGACAGCTATGTGAGTCCTCTTCCTTTGTTTTTGTTTTTTCAGTTATGATTTGGAAGTTCTCATTAAATCTTACTTCTTTACTGTGCTACTGGATTATCACTTTGCATCGTTCAGCGGTCTCATATAACCAAGACAATCACAGTCCCATCAGAGTCTCTTCTTAATGAACTTCGAGTAGTTGAGGTTTGTTCTCGAGAACTTCATCCAATTATTTGCACATTTTATTTGGTCTTATGCTGCAAATTTTGCTATTTTTGATTGTTCTATCATCTGAGATTTGCCTTATAGTTCTATATAGTCAATGTGGTGCTCCATTATTTGATCGTAATTGTTATTTCTTTTAATGTCCTTTACTTTCTTATTTTTGGACATTTACATACATACTAAGATGATGGCCAGAGATCTGACTAAAGCTTGAAGATTAAGTAATTAGATGTCTTCTTTTAAGATTATTACCCCACCTTTTTCCTACTAACATAAAACAATTTTGAAAGTTGGAAACCTGGGTATTGTCTGAAAAAGTGAACAACAGCAGGGAAAAGAAGCTTTGTTATATCTGTTTATTTATTAATTTCAATAAAGTGAACTTATTCACCAATCAACACCAAGAAATGCCTGAGTTCGACACCATGTTTTCTTTAATACATATGAATCCCTTGGGATGAAATCCAAAGAGTTCTTAAAAGGCCTACCCCTTGAAAACTTGCATCATATATTGGAATCATTATTGGCTTAATTACATTCAAACTCCTTAAGGGCTGAGATAATAATCCAACATTCAAACTTTCTTTTTTCTTCAAAAGCATTAATGTATCGCCATTTTCTTAGGTATTATGTCAATATTATTTTTTTTTGATAAGAATTTCATGCCTCATTAAAAACCCCCTTCTTGATTAATGGAGCTTGTAGAGAAGCTCCTTAATCAGCGGAAGGAGGAAAAGAGTGTCTTAGGATTTTATTGAAACAGAAAATTACATAAAATCCACACAAAATACAACCAAGAAAACACCCCAACAGAACCAAATAAGCTGAAAACACCCTTAAAACATCCAAACTAAAAACACAGAAACAACGAAAACAACAATAGTAACCCCCTAACAAAACACAGAAAAAGAAGAAACAACCATCAACAACTTAACTAACTCAGCCTATGCCTTCTTTAGCTAAGGCATCAGCCTCTAAATTGGCTGTCCTATTAACCCATCTATCAACACCTTCAAAGGCCTTAAGCCTATGAACAATATCTTTAATCAAGAAAGCATATACAACAGGACATAATTCCACCCCCTTTATCCAATCCACAGCGACCTTACTATCACTCTCTATAATCAGACGGTCCTTGATCCTCTCTCGATGGGATGCAAAGAAAGACAACCCCATAAGAATAGCCTTTAACTCCATCAACGTAGGAGGTCCTGGACCAGCAGTTTCCTTGAAATAGGCTATAGTAGAACCTGATGAATCTTTTAAAACACCTCCTAGTCCGCTTTTCTTCCAATCCCATGTAGTGGCAGCATCAACATTTAATTTAACAAAACCTAACGGAGGAGGAGACCAAGGCAGAGAGGAAGTAATCTTACTCGAGTTTAGAAACTAAGTCCCAAGAGAAGGATCGGAAATGAGTGAGTCCTTAGGAATAGGAACTTCTTTATACTTTGCTAAGAACCAAGAAGCAAGCCTAAATCTAGCTAAAAAGAAGAATTCTGCCTTATCAAACTTCCCCTTCAAACACCACGAAATTCCTCATTTCCAAGGTCCAAAGAACGACCCCTGGAATAAAAGGCCACATCAAAGAGTTGACTTTAATCCATCCCAAGCTAGAAAGAAACTTTTAGCATCCGTAGGTAAAACAGAACAAACCTCCAATAACTTAAAAACTTATTCCAATGGACCACACCACCGAACAAGAGAAAACAAATGAGAGGGGACTCATCCGACAACTTGCATAGGGGACATAATACATCTCAATTCCCTGAATACCTCTTTTGACAAGTTCAGTCCTAACAGCTTCCATGAGCGATCTGCCAAAGAAAACAGTCTACTCTTGGAGGCAGTAGGCCTCTCCAAATAAACTTCTTCCAGAAAGTACCTCATCCAATCCCAAAGTCTCCGATGAACATAGCCAGATGAAACAGTAAAAACCCATCTCCAGTCCCTTCCAAAGCACACGATTAGGAAAATCCGGAGAGAGCGAAAAATTCGAAATGATAGCCAGCAAGTCAGACCATTGTTCAAGTTCCCAGTCATGAAGAGTTCTTCTAAATTTAACATCCCAAGTCCAAACGGAACAGATATACTCACCGAATTCAGATAATTTCCCAAACTGATTTAAGGAAATAGTAAATAGTCTTGGGAAAATGACAACAAGTGGAAATCCACAGCCCAATCTTTCCAAAACCGAATATTTTTACCATCACCAACATGAAAACTACACATGCTTCTAAATTTAGTGCCAAAGAAGTCTTCTTTAAAATAATTATTAAGCAATTATCTCCAAATCCAGGATACTTTAGGAGGAACCTTACTGTCATGAGTTAAAACTGAAGAATCGAGTCTATATTTGGCACAAACAACTTCCCTCCAAACTGCGTCCCTATCATTGGCAAACCTCCAAGTCATTTCCTAAAAGCACTCTCATCAAGTGAGATTAAGAACTCCTAAGCCCCTTCACTTCGGCTTGCAAACATTGGACCAGCTAACCCAGTGGATTTTTCTAATGCCAGTTCCCCCTCCCTAAGAAATTTGACATGATAGAGTTAAGGGTTTTTAGGATCGAAGCTGGAATTTTAAAAATGGAAAGGTAATATGTAGGAAGCGAACAAAGAACCCCTTGATTAACACTAGCTCCTGCTAAAGAGAGAGATGCAGCCCTCCACCCGGTTAGCTTGTTAAAAAAATTATTAATGATGGTTCCAACTAGCTGCAGAATTCCTAGTAGCCCCAAGGGGAAGCCCTAGATATTCGGAAGGAAATCTTCCAATTGAACATCCAATAGAATTAGCCCATTCCAGCAGTTCCCCCTCATTAACATTAACCCCAAACAGTTTGCTCTTCTTCAAATTCAGTTGTAGACCAGAAACCACTTGAAATACTTAAGCACCTTTTGACATTCTGAATTTCCCTTTCGAAGCACCAGAAAATAATCAAATCATCCGCAAACTGTAAATGAGACACATATGCACCCCTGTTCTCTGCCAATCACCATTCCAGAAAATAAACCTTGAGACACAGACCTTCGTATCAATAGATTAAGTAGCACCCCTAGTATAGAGCCAGTTAAGCATATTATAATCATGTAATATTGACTTTTCCCCCTCTTTTGATACAGGAAATGAAGAGACAATGTGATGAAAAAAGGTCCAAGTTTATTTATTTATTTTTTAACTAATAGACACACAAGGAGTTCATCTTTCAAAGATAATGGCTTCTGATACTTGGTCTGTTATCTACAGAGATGTGTACGAGTACATGGCAATGAGACACAAAGAAAAAGGAAAATCAAAAGGTCGGAAAGGTGAGAACTTTTCCAGGCAGCAATTACAAGTAGCACATGATAAATATGATGAAGAGGCAACTTTATTTGTTTTCCGATTGAAATCTCTAAAGCAAGGACAATCAAGAAGCCTTCTTACGCAAGCAGCACGGCACCATGCTACTCAGGTTTCTTTTCCCTCCTATTTTATTGAAATTTCTTATTCCTTCTATTGTTGGTTATTGATCTATTTCGTTTTGCTTGAAAGCAGCTGAACCTTTTTAAGAAGGCCCTTAAGTCTCTTGAAGAAGTGGAGCCACATGTGCAGAAGATCACTGAGCAGCAGATATTGATTATCACTCAGTGGACTTGAAGATGATGGGGACGATGGTGATTATGATGAATTTTATAAAAATGATGATGACGATGAGGTGATATGAGCTGAGCTTTGACTATAGATGTTGGTTATTGATCTATTTCGTTTTGCTTGAAAGCAGCTGAACCTTTTTAAGAAGGCCCTTAAGTCTCTTGAAGAAGTGGAGCCACATGTGCAGAAGATCACTGAGCAGCAGCATATTGATTATCACTTCAGTGGACTTGAAGATGATGGGGACGATGGTGATTATGATGAATTTTATAAAAATGATGATGACGATGAGGATGATAATGAGCTGAGCTTTGACTATAGACAAAATGATCAAGATCATAACATGATCCCTGCTTCACGGCACTCCATGGAGGTGACTATTTAACATGTTATTTGTGGATAAGAAAAGCCAACTTCTTCCCTGCCAAAATGCAATTGTTGTTATGCTCTTTTGTGTGTTTCTGTAGAATGGATTTCATTCTTCGGATTGTTTTAAAGAAAGTTCTATGCACCTCGAACAGGAACATGGATAAAATATGATTTATTCTATTTGTGCCTCTAAATGAATTAACTTTTTTTTGATAGGATAAATGAATTAACTTTAGAATGGATTTCATGTTAGTTTTTCTTGAGCGATAATTTTCCATGTGATTTTGCAGTTGGATGAAGTATGCCTTAAATTTCCCCAAGTTGCAAAGGTAAAGAACTAGTTATATTACTACATACTGCAAGTTTGATTGTGTAAATGTTCAAATAGAGCAGTCAAGTAATCTGGTTCATGATAATAGTCAGAACTATAACTAGTTGGCTGTAGATGGAGAGTTCCAACTTTAATATGAAACTACTGGGGGAGAATACCACGTAACACTTCCCTTTTTTTTTTATAGAAACCACGTAACACTTCCCTCAATATAGTGCACAAAGCCTATAGGTGGGCAACCTTACTGGGGGTCGCCAACCCCGCTTGGGTTAGGCAAGAAGAACAACATAATAGAACTTGCACTTTTATACCATGTGAAAGCATCCAAACTAAAACCAATTGATTATAGATGGAGAGGCCCAAAATCTAATACAAAAGACCATAAGAAATCCAATACTCAAAAGGTGTAGGATAAAGCCACTTATAATTTTTTGAAACTAATCATACTATTACGTATCAGTTTTCATTGGACTAATTTAGCCGTGCAAGTCCAGTAACGGACTCTAATTGGAAGAGATTTATATGCATTGACGTTAGTGAATACAAATTATGTAATGCTTCCACAGAAGAAACATTATAACCTCATTTGCATTTTATTTTGTCACCTCCCCCCCCCCAAATTTGCAGCAAATATCTACTTTATTGCTGGTATATTTACTGTTCCTTTTGTTACAGGAAAATCCAGAAAGAACCCATCGTCATTCTTTTTCATTTGGAGAGGAAAGAAGGAATATCAGCCAATCAGCCCCTCTTTTTGCTGAGAATAAATCTGAGTCCTCTGTGAAAATTCAACCATTACCAGCACAGAAGTTCAGCTCATATGTATTACCTACACCAGTTGCTAAACAAGGCTCTATTGGGTTAGGTAATCCAGCTCCTCAATCTTTCAAGACAAGTTTGAATGAGTCTTCGAACAATTTGTGGCATTCATCTCCTCTTGAACTTAAGAAATATGAGAGGATTTCAGGAGATGTAAAAATTTCTGGATCTGCTGTTATAAACGCAGAGGTAGTACTGGGAGAGAGCAATAATCCTGCTTCGCCAACTCAACTACCCCCTCCTTTGGTTGATAAGTTTTTATTTTCACAAGTTAGTCCAACTGCTGCTTCTGATTCCAAGAAAATTAAAAGACAAGCCTTCTCTAGTCCATTGAGAAGTAAACCATCGCCCAGCAAACCAGTTTCAGTGGAACATCCTCAATTGTTCTCTGGGCCAATTTTGAGAACTCCAATGTCTCACATGCATGGAGTATCCCCAAAAACATCACCAAATACTTCCCCTACATTTGTGTCCACGCCTAAAATTAGCGAGCTTCATGAACTTCCTAGACCCCCAACCACTTCAGCTTCCAAGTCTTCAAGACCTTCAGGCTTGGTTGGTTATTCAGCCCCCTTGATGCCTAGAGGTCAAGCGTTCCCTGCAACAAATAAATCAGCAGTGTCAAAAACTGCCTCTCCACTGCCAAAACCTCCAGACGTTGTAACTCGCAGTTTCTCCATACCCTCATTCGGTCATAGAGTGATGTCATTACCTGTTGTGTCCAAACCTCCGGAAACAGCTATCAGTTCAGGGATGTCTCAAGATCTTGCCTCACCTCCTTTGACACCGGTATCTTTATCACGAATCCATCCATCATCAACTAATTTGAAGACCACTGATAGGTAATCAAAACACAATCCTTTTGTTTCCTTTGATCCATTTTGAATAACTTATGCCAAAACGATTGAAGTTCCTGCTTCTCTTTCCTATTCCTGACTGTTGGCTTGTGATTGATGCAGGAACTGATTGGTTATATATCTAATTCTAGTACTGATTTCATTCCTAACTCATGGGGGCCACGATTGTCGTTATCGTGACATGCAGGTCCAGATATGTGCATATATTCTTTGTCTACTTATTCTTTCTATATCATTGTTACGTACTTTATTCACTTGTGGTCGTGGGATCGAATCTCACGGTGGGCAATTCATAATTGTCGGAGGTCTTCCACGGAAGTTTCTCTCAACCTAGCGTTGGGGGCAGCCTACTACCATACCTCCTCCTTACCCTATTATATATGGGAATAGGGTCAGCTAATTTTTTTTTATTCACTTGTCTATCTGTTTTGATGAACGCTTGGCATGAATCAGTCAAATACATGCCATGTGTTCCATCATTTTTGAGGAATTTTGTATTTTTTTCCGAGGCAGTAATAGGTAATACAATTCTTTTACCCTGTGCAACTTACTATAATACCAAGTAATTTGGTATTGAGAAATTGGTTTGAAACAGGAGTCAGATGGTGTTGTATCAAATTAAGAATGGTAAGTTTTGTCAACTGAGAACTTTCCCTATTACCATTGGATTTGGATGAAACGTGTTTAAATTGGAATGGGCAAAGCTTAAATGTTTTCCCACGAACGGTTGCTGTGTTTTTTCTGCAAAACGTAATAAACCGGCATTCTTGGACAAGTAAGGTTCCTTGTCTGTTGCAAATGTAGAAGATAATCGATAATGATTAGATAGGGGCATATTCGATAATGATTAGATAGGGACATATCTGGTTGACATACCCCTATACCCCAACTCCTTAATAAAAGTCGTACAATGTCATAAGCTACTTATTTAGTCTATCGACTACATAAATGATTTTAGAATTACAACTTATTTGAATCAATTCATTTTTCTTTATTCAAATTTCAAGTTTCAATCGAGTTTAGATTTTCAAAGTTTAAAATAAAAAAAAACTGAAAATTGAATTTTTTTTTTAGAATTATTTATAAATAGAATATATGGGTAAATTAGTCTAGGAATCAAGACTATTAAGCTCATTGTTTACTAATTTTAAACGGCGAGTATATTTTACCAAAACCTGTCGTACATTTGTGATTTTTGAGCAAGACCGTGGTGCTGGACAAATTTTTTGGAACCAGAAATAAACAAATGCTAAATTGCATTTTCCGTGGAGTAACATAAGAAATATATACAAGAAAAATGAAGTCCATCTTTATCCATCAGGAGATTCAGAAGCTTTCACAAATCGACCTTCACTCGCTTCCTACTATCGGCTCTCGCCTTCCTAGATTCATACCGTATGTGTTTATCGTACCTGCTCATGCCAACCCTCGAATTTTAATAATCTGAAACCGGTTATTAGATGACAACAAACAAGCAAAACCACCAAGGAAAACCAACCTTCGTGTTTTCTTCTTCTCTTTGTATCGTTGCATGGCATTGCCTCTGTTCTGCGCCAGCAACTCCAGATCAGCCTTGGTAGGTGCTGCAGCTTCCCTTGCTTGGAGATGTTGTTCCATGAACACAGCATCGTTGGAACTGCAATAGCCTGTCGGTCCACCAAAAGTCGAACCCATTGACGGCCTTGGTTTAGGTAGGTTGTCGCTCTCAGATGTGGTTGCCCCCTGACTCACACCTGGGTTATTCGAGTTTATCTGCATTTTCAAATACAGAGAGAGATTTCCGAGTCATATGTTACAACAATTTCCAATCAAAGTTCTAACTTGTTATGATCTCATCCTGGCATATATATCAAACAAAAGGAGCATGGTGCAAATAAAACCATCAAGCAATAGAGTTAAGTACTTGGAGTTTATCACGGCTTCCATTTCAATATATGAATTCTGAAATTCCAAAAGAGAGTATTAACTTTAGATATATATCAAAACAGGCAAAGAACGAACAGTGTTTTCTAGAGCTGATCACCAACACCAACCAATCCTATCAGATTAGGATATACTACGAAAAAAATAGAAAGGGAGATTGAGGGGGTGTTGGGATGAGAACGTATCCCTACAAATTTTAAATTCTTATTTAATTTTTATATTTTCTTTGTATTTTTCATTGATGATCTAATATCACACCCACTAGAATTGTCTTAAACTTTTAATATAGTTTATACGCTGACGTAAAATCTTGCATTTGTAGCTGAAGGGATATTTATAAGAAACAGTGAACTGGTTGAGGAACAATACATTGATTGAATCCATATTGTCTTGTGAAGGAGTGTAGTTCAGGTGGCACGCATCTCCCAGCAATTTTGCACTCAAAGACGTCTCATCCATGAAATTCTTAATCATGAAAACAGCAGCATCGCTTCCACCATACCCATCTTCTTCAAATTGGGGTTCATCACCCCACAGCTCTTCCGACTTAAAATCCCATATCTGTAACAGTTTATAGAATCGATTTTCTGTTAATATTTTAAATTATACTCTTGTTAATATAAGTCAAAAGAAAGATCCAAGTACCTGAGGAGTTTGGTCAGTTGGATTACCATTCCACAACACATCTCCTCCATCCACAATGTGATTGCTCTCCGGCGTTTGCATCATCAGCAACGAAGTAAAAGGCGTTTGCATTTGTTGTTGCGGCTGCATAATTTCTAGTGGAGCCAAAACGTTGTCGTTGGCTTCCACATTCTGCACCAGGTCCTCAATCTCTCCGCCTCTTCCACCGCCATCGTCGTCGACAACGTCGGCCATTAAATTCCGTTTCATCAACTCCACAAGCTGTTTATACCAAACCTGCTTGTACTTTCCACTCCCGTGATTCTTCTTCTTCAACACCGTCTGCTCGTAGGGTTCCATCAAATCTCGTACGCTCGTTTTGTTCAACCACGCCTCCTCGGCCGGCATCGTCAACTCTTGGTTCCACATCTGATCCGGCGGTTTCTCCTCTTGGAGGTCGAACCCCCAAATGGAAGCCAGCTCAAGAGCGGAGGGACAACCGGAAAAACCATTAACGGGGATGCGATCGTGAGCGGCGGAGACAGAGCAAGTACCATGGGCATCATAATCACACTCTTGACAGAGCACCAAATTATCAGTAGCGCAACGAACGGAAACGGGTTCGGCGCAACAATTATCGCAGATCCGAGAGCGGAGGTGCTTGAGGGAGAGGAGGTTGGCGGAGTGGACGTGGTGGTCGCACAACAAACAGAGGTTGGCGGAGTCAGCGCGGCAGTAGAGAAGGGCTGTTTGGGCATTGCAAACATCGCAAGGCTGGGGTGCCTTGCAGTCGAGTTTTGGAGTAACCATAGGGAAATTCGGGTGTAAAATTGAAAAAGAAGAAGGATTTGAGAGCAGAGGAAGGAGGAGAGAGGGGACATATTTGAGCTTTTAGATTGGAGATAATTAATTTCTAAATTTGGAAGATAATGAAATTGAATTCAGCACATGAAGTTGGTTCCAGTTTTTGCTGCAATACTCAGTCCCCCCACTCTCTTTTTCTCAATATTTCTTATTTAACTTTTTTTTATTATAATTAATTTAGTAATTAAATTATTAAAAATTTGATTTGAGATTAAGACGATATTGGTCTAGTATTATGTTTGGAATTATTAAAATATAGTATTACATTTTTGGGTAAATTATTGAAATGGTCACTTATCTTTTTATATACTTTTACTGATCAAGTTTAAAAAAATTAAATTATGATCACTTATGTTATCTTATTAAATTTTATCAACGAGACATTACAGATCGTTAGTTAATTTAATGACGTAGCAGAAAATGTTTAACTTTTATTTTAATCTCCAAAACTTAAAATTTTAATATTAATTCAGGGGATTTTTTTAAATCAAAACAAATTAGGGACCTCTCTTGTCTTCTTTCTCCCTACAGGTCTTCCTTTTTGGTTTCTTTTTTTTGGGGGGGGGGTTTATTTTCTTTATCCGTACATGGGTTTCTTTGCTTGATTTCAATCAGCTAAGCTAGCTCGAGGTTGGTTTTGGTATGGCGTGGCCTGTAGGGCTTGAGGGATTCAGATAAGTGAAAATATACAGGCTTAAGCTAGCATGGAAGGTCAAAACTTCGTTGTTAATGGAGTGGTGAAGATGCCCATTGGCTATAGGTTTCGTCCTACGGATGAAGAGCTTGAGGTTCATTACTTGAAGAGAAAGGCTTTGAATCTTCCTTTACCTGCTTCTGTCATTCCCGAGTTCGACGTTATGCAGACGAATATCATTGTTAATATTGTGTGGGTTTCAGGTGACGTGAAAGAAAACAAGTATTTCTTTAACAAAAGGTATTGAAATGACACACAGCAGATGCAAGAGAGTATCTGGACAGCTGGTTGTGGTTACTGGAAGCTCATAGCCAAATAGAAAATCAATTTAGGCTTCTGTAACCAATCAAGTGATTGGGATGAGAAAAGCTTTGATTTTATGTGAAACGAAGCGTTCTAATGAGACCAAGACTCGGTGGTTCTTACATTTATTTCGCCTTGTTGGCTCAGCAGAAATCCTTTTATCCAACACATGTACGGTATAATCAGGGATTTATGTAGAAATATATGTCGGGTAGTATAAAGTTATGAAGTTTTAAAAATTTATATCAAAGTGTATTAAGTTTTAGAAATTTAAGAAGTGCGAAATTATAAAATTTTAGAAGACGACCGCACCCTAATACTCTCTCGGTCCATTCCTAAATATAATATAATAATAAATTTATGTTATAGCAGCAGTCATTAAAGTTTTCATACTTAGTTGGGCTTCTCTTGGCTATGAGTTTTCTATATTGCAGGTGTTCGGGAGAGAATGATTAGTTTTCAAGGGTAAATTGAGATTTTATCTTAAGATTATTTTAAGTTTTTGTAAAACGGTCATAATTAATATTTTATTTAAAGTTTATAGATTAAAATAAAAATGAAACATTCTATCAATGTGACGCATCTTTCGAGTAACGAGACCAAAATTTAATAAATGATAACAAAATGGACCAAAATTTAACTTTTTTTTTTGGATTGAGCACACAAACGTAGACAAATATGAAAGATAAGTGATCATTTCAATAGTTTACCTACACTTTTTGTTTCTAAAGGTGGTGGAGCCCAGTTATGAAATATCTTTGAAGCTTTTTGCTTGCGCGGATTACCGCACTGGACTCAGCTTGCTTAATATAAATCTGAAGTATAAATTAGAATGGACTTTTAACGTCTAATAGAAGGAAGAGAAGTGATCCTTGTGGATCTAGACCCATGACATAAGGAAATGGAGAGAACAAATATGAGTAGTTTGAGGTAATGTTGATATACGATAGTCTTAATATACGGTTAAGGAAAGATTCTATCGAAAATGTTAATAGTTTTTTAATATTTTTGGAAAACACTTCCTAAAACATTATTTTTTTTACCGGAAATGTTAATTTCGCTACCTTATTTCCGGTAAAAAAATAACATTTTAGATAACGCCCAATATTAATATTTTCGGTATAAAAAATAATGTTTTAGGTAACGCTTTATCGTGAATGTTAAACATTTTAGGTAACGCTCAATATTAACATTTTCGGTAGAAAAAAAATAATATTTTAAGCAGCGTTTTACCAGAAATATTAAAAAAATATTAATATTTCCGGTAACGTATTTCCTTAGCCATATATTAAGGCTGCCTTACAGGAGACATCTTTGCAGGTTGACCAACTGACCAAATGTGCTCGTTCAAAAATATATTTTCATAAAATTTAAATAATATAATGATTAAAATAATTTTATAAATTTTAATGTTAAATATTTGTAATTTAATATTAAAAGTTTAACTTATTAAAAATAGTACATATGACAAAATAATTTGATAAAAATATACATTTAAATAATATTATATTATTAAATTACTATCCAATAAATCAAATAAAATAATACAATATTTTTTTATAATATATCAACTAATATTATATTCTAATAATTTTATTCTGAAAAATAGTCTTCTATTCCATAAACTAAATCATTACTCGAAATAGGAAAACCTATAAAGGGCGGTCAGCCAGTGGGCCTGAATAAGATGCTAGTGTTCCGAAACGTATGTCGACACGGGTGAATCCACGAGATAATGTTCTCGAACTTTTTTATTCACGAGATAATGCACATCCCAGATTAATTGCTGAAATAGGGTGAATTTTACAGTGAGCTTGGAGGTCGCCATGACATCCGAGCGACCTTGGAGGTCGCCATGGCATCCGAGCGACCTTGTAGGTCACCATGGCATCCGAGCGATCTGTGGGGTATTTTGCAAAGGATAGGTCGCCATGCAATCAAATAGTGTGGTGTTTTCAGATTCAATTTTTAAAGTATTTTTTAGTCTATATTGTATTTTATTTACATTATTTATAATATACCTTTAGGCATCTTTGTTTCTCTGTTAATTTTAAGATTAGAGTTGTGTGTATATATAGAAATTTATTATTGAATTTAGAGAAAAAAGATTAATCATGAAGTCTAGCATTTGTATTGGAATGTCCAGCGTGAAACGTTGTTGTAGGTCGCCATGCACGTAGGTCGTCATGCACTCCGGGCGACCTTGTAGGTCGCCATGTACTCCGGGTGACCTACCCTCGCACGGTTGCCCTCGGATGCCCTCGCATAGCTCGTTCGGATGGCCTCGGATGCCCAGCGTGTTGGGGCGTGCATGGCGACCTGGTAGGTCGCTGGGCGTGCATGGCGACCTACCCCAGGGACTGTAGAGATCACCCTATCTGAGCAATTAATCTGGCTAGGGCACTATCTCGTGAAAAAAAAAAATTCAACGCATTATCTCGTTGATTTTGCCATGTCGACACCTCCACGGCTCCACCTTCTGAATGAACTTTTCCGCCCATTCCAAGGACTGCAAAATGCTAGGAAAAAAAAGTGTGAAAAACACATGCAATCCAATTATCTATTTTATTCCATCTTTCTTGAAGAAGCTTTGGCATAAGAGTTCTGACCTTCACGACTCCAAGTCAAAATGGAATAACCACAATCCAAGTCAACTGACATCCAACCCTTTTACCGGAATTCAAAGAAACCATTATACGACTGGCTTATCAATGGTGATACGGGTTGATGCTGGAATCCAACCTTTTACCGGAATTCAAAGAAACCATTATACGACTGGCTTATCAATGGTGATACGGGTTGATGCTGGAATCCTAATAAAAACATGATTTTTCATGGGCCACAAATCGTATATTGCTTTCAAGATTTTGTTCTAATTCTTTTGTCGCCCTTCGAGGGGTAAACCCCAAAAGAAAGTCAGCCATAATGATCCACTAACACTAGCAACATATCCAGAGAAGCACGGGGGGAAAAGATACTGAAAAAGAAAACACGCAGAATGGGCGTAAAATAGCCCTTTCGAAATGGCCAAGAGTCACAGTGGTGAACATGCAAATGCAAATAATAAACAATCAATGAAATGTGAGCGGTGGTTTAAGTATTTCTTGGAGTTTGAAAATTGGATTGGATCAATGACTAAAAAGACAAGGGTGGCATCGTCTGAGCCATGCAAAAAAGCGGAATATATTCCGAGACACGATCGATACGATGATCCGATTCGAATGTCAGTCATTGGTTATATAAATAGACGCCTTCAGCCCTCAAGCATTGCATTGAAGGATCATCCCATTGGAGAAAAATGAAGAAGATTAGGGTTTCTGAATTTCATGAGGAAGAGAGGTCCTACATGAGGATCGGAGTCTTCTTGTATTGTAGCCAAGGATGACTTGCCTGCGACCTGGCACGAGTTTTGAAACTCAAGCTCTGGGGTGGTACACAGGCAGTCTCCTTGGATAATAAATCGGGCTCTTGTCATTCATGCCGGACCTTCTCTTCTTTTTCTTCCTTGTGCCACTTTCATTTGTCCTTTCGTCTGCAGTTAATTGCCAGAGATTTAATGTATTATTTTATGTATAACTTGCATACACGCGGAAAGCAATGGTTTCACTGGTTTTTGAAGGTTTGATTTAATGACAAGGTTAATAACTTTGAGATATAAGTTGCAATCCATCATGAATGCCTGTTTGAGTTCAATTTTTATAATGTGCTGAAATAATTGTTATCTTTTAAAAAAATTTAAAGATTTTTTACATTTATTTTACATATAAAGGTTTGAATGGCTCGCACTGCACCGTTGATTTATACTCCTACATATAATTTTTTTTTTTTTACATTTATTAAACCAGAGCCTGGCTTACCGGCAAAACTTTCGAGATAATGTTCTGAAAGAAATTAATTCACGAGCTAATGCACTCCCAAGATTAATTGCTCAAATATGGTGAAATCCACAGTATTGGCCGTAAGTCACCATGCACTCCGGGCGACCTACAAGGTCGCCATGCACTCCGGGCAACCTACCCTTGCTCAAACAGAGAGAATGAACGTTCAAACAGAGAGAATGAACGTGTTGCATGGCACATGCACGCCCCAACACATAGGTCGCCATGCCCTCCGGGCGACCTTGTAGGTCGCCATGCACTCCGGGCGACCTACCCTCGCTCGGCTTCCCTCGGATTCCCTCGCATAGCTCGCTCGGTTGCCCTCGGATGCCCTCGCATAGCTCGTTCGGATGGCCTCGGATGCTCTCGGATGGCCTCGGATGCTCTCGGATGGCCTCGGTCGGATGGCCTCGGATGCCCAGCGTGTTGGGACGTGCATGGCACATGCAATCTCTTGTAGCTCGCCGAGAAGACATGGCGACCTAGTAGGTGAATTAATTTTGGGAGTGCTTTATCTCGTGAATTAATTTTTTCCAGAACATTATCTAGAAAGTTTTGCCGTGGCTTACCTTTCTTCTCCCTAATTCTTTTCCTCTCAGATCCAATGTTTTGTTTTGATTAATTCGGATCGACCCACGCCGCACAACTGATTTTGGTGGTGAAGTCTCCCAATTAGGGATGACAAAAAAAACTCGAACCTAACGGAGAAAACCGAAAACCGAACTAAACGGGGATGGTGAAAAATCGTTTATGCTAAACGGGGACGGAGAAAAACCATTTATGTTAAACGGGGACGGGTTTAGTAATCCCCGCCCCGATTACTCGGCCTAATACCCAGCCCGATAAATATTAAAAATAATTATATATATATATATATACTATTAATAAATTTAATTTAAATTAAAATATATATATATATATATAATATTTATATATTTAATTTAAATATATATATTCGGCCTGATACCTGACCCGATACATGTTTAAATAATCGTTTATACTAAACGGGGATACCCGTTTCCCCATGATTTTCCCCGATTTCCCGATGGGGATCCCTGTTTAAATCCCCGTGGTTTTTTAAGCGGAGACGGGTACGAGTTTTTTAAACGAGGATGGGGACGGGGACAAGGGACCAATACCCGGCCCGAACCAGACCCGTTACCATCCCTACTCCCAATAGGGATTTTTTACATACACGGATTCGAACTCGAGACTTTGCTTGAGTGATATCAAGTTGTTTACCACTTAAACTAATCTCTGTTGGTATTTTTTTCATCTTTGATTGGCAAGACCAGGAATTAATTTTAATATTGATAGTCGTTGATATTTTATTTTATTTTTACCTTTTTATATCATAACTTAACTTTTTTTTATCTTTTAACTTTTAACAATTTTATCTTTATAACATGTTTTCATCTAATTTTTGGCATATTTTTTATCTATCTTTTGGCACATTTATGACTTTCTTTATTGGTCGTTTAGTTTTTTTATCGTGGTTAGACTTGACGTTATCTCGATTGATGAAGATGGTACTTATTTTTTATATCTTCCCTACTTTGAACTTTCAAATTGGATTTGGATACAAAATTTATATTCGTGGATAGTTTTCTCACTTCGTTTGGCTTTGATTTACAATTTATCAATGATATTTCAATAGTTTGATCCTCTATTATTGGTCGTTTATTGATGCTGAAAGATATGTTTGTAATTATCTTTTGTTAGAATTTTTTGATTGAATTTTTAACATTTCCCTTATATGGTCATTGAATGATCTAAAAGATTAATCTTTTATGCCAATAGTTATAGGAAAAATTCCTAATTATATGTTTAATTTACAATTATGAGTGTAAACCTTTATTATAATTTTAGATATTTACTATTTCTAAAAATATTAGCTAATTCTACATAAAAAAACAGAAAGTGAAATTTAATGAATTATTTTAAGTGATAATAATGAGCATTGTCTAATCTGCAATTCACAATATAGTAAAACTCTCATTCATATCACATGTCCTTGTATAGACATAAGCTTATTTTCAGAAAATATAGAAAAATACGTATAAATTAAACAGGTAGAATGCTTTATCATGCAGGCAAAGCAAAACTCTTCTGCCACCATTGCGGCATATCCACCACAGCACAAGCATCTGATTTCTCAAAACTGGCAATCTGAAACAAAACAAAACAAGCAAAAAATAAAAGGGTTAAGAATTTTGTAACCAAGCAAAAAAGAAGAATGGATAAGTGGTGAAAAGACTCGCCTTTTCATTGCAGTTTGGGCAATAATGATATTTATGCCAAAGACAGTCCATTGAAGGGCAAAGGAAGCAGATTCCTAGCATGAAGGGCATCATGCATCCCACCACCGCTGCCAGGCTAGGTTTGGATCTGAATTATCACACAGATTCAGAGCAGGATCACACTAACATAATCCCTACTAAATATTATCATACTATATGACAAAGGCCTAACAGGGAAACAAGACATGCCTTTTGTTTCGCCCAAATTTGACGATAGGTTAAAAATTAAGAACTACGATATCTCGGTTTTTTATGAGGAAGAACGATGGTTCTTAAATAGTTTTTTTTTAAAACCATGTTTTATAAAAAGTTAAAGGAATGAATAAATAAATTTGTAATATTGCTTTTTATTTATATGAAATTTGGTTTTTAGTTATTTTTAATTTTATCGATAATAAAGTTTAGATATTATTATAAATTTTGTATACGGATATTCGTATTAAAAGATAATATCATTGGGGTCAATATTATGCTTTGTTTTTATATATAAGCAGAAGGATAAAGAAGGGATGGTTCAAAATCGAATCAGAAATTCAATGGAAATAAGATTAAAATAATACTTTTTAATATATTATATGTTTGAATTCATTGAGTGACCTAAATAGTAAAAAATTATTGTTCTTTATAGAAGTTTTAAGTTCGAGCAATTAAGTAAAGTATATATGGTATCAATAACTAAAAAAGATTACTTATAATAATCTTAGATTATTAAAATATATATATATCACATGTTTGGTAGATACTATTATCAATTTATTAATAATATATTACTTTTATCAATTTATTTAATTCAATAAAAATAAAATATTAAATATTAAAAGGGACGGAAAAAATTTTGAAGTTAAATTTTATTTTGAAAATTTCAAAAACCAAAAATTTTTAGTGTGGTTACTTTTACTATTATAGTGCCTATAAAGGTTTTTATGTATATTGTTTTAAAATTAAAAATTAATATTACAATGACTGCCAAAATAGTGTCTTTGTTTTGTGTGTTTTAATTTTAGATGGTAATAAACCACAAATTTCAGAAGCAAGACAGGAACCAGAGACGAGCAGGACAACTGTGATCATATAATCGACCCTCACCATATGCATAAACAAATACTAGCAAGTACTAAACTATGCATAAACCAACAAGGAGATCACGTGCAACCCAACTGTGCAATACGGAATCATATATATCGAAGAAAATATTAAAAGGGGACCGAAAATGAATCGGGAAAAAAAATACCTGACAAGGGTGAGTCCCGAATTACCACAGTAAGGGCAATTGAAAGGAGCAGGAGTATCACGATACATGGTTTGCTGAATCGGAATCCCCTTTGGGTCCCCGTATATCGCGTTCGGCGGTATCCTCCCCTCCTGGTAACCATCCACCCTTGGCCCTGCATAGTATGGGACTCCGACCACCGGCTCCTCCGTCTTCGACATATTATTTAACTTCTCTCCGCAATTACAATTCTCCGTCAACTAATTCGAGCTTTGATTTTAGAAATAATCAAAATCTCAGGTATTTTATAATGGCCCATACGCCGTTTGAAGCTGCCAATGCGATGCCGTGTTGATTTATTGATAGATTTTCCGCGTTATGTTATGAGAATTGAGAAATGAAGTTACGAGGAAGGTGGGCGTGACTTCATGTTCTAGAAATGGAAAGATATAATCGTTTGCGTTTTTCAAAGCCCAATGGGCCCAATAAAGTACGATTCGCCTCCTTTTCTTTTGTTATATTTTTAATTACATTCCTATTTCGCTAATTAACGTTTTGGGTAAAGTACATTTCTATTTTAGTTCTGTATTATCAAAAAAACACATTAATTATTTTTAAACATTTCTTAAACAATTCTAAACTTCTAAACTTAAAACAATGAGCTAAATGCATCATACATCCTCAATCTATTACTCATTCGAAATTGATATCCAATTTTTTTTAACATTTTAATTTCAGCCTCGAGCTATGATTCCCATTCTAAATTGATCTCAAACTTTTGAATATTGCAAATTCATCTCCAAACTATGAACCTCATTCTAATTGGTTCCCCTAGCTTTTGAATATTCTAATAACTTCCCCTAAAATCATCCAAAAGATTGGGGATGAAATTGGGACATTCAAAAGTTTGAGGAATAATATGTAATAAGAGTCATAGTTTGGGGATGGATTTGAAAAATTCAAAAGTTTAGGAACTAATTTAGAATGAAAATAGTATTTAAGATGAAGTTAAAATATTTAAAACTTTAAAAATTAATTTAAATTGAGAATCTTAGTTTAAGGATGTATAGTACAAGAACTCTAAAATAATCTAGAAAAAAAAAACATGTTACATATAAGTATAAGAGTAACTTACACAAACTACCACAATTGTTTAAATAAAATTTTGTTTTTCTCGTTAAAATTTTAAAAATAATAAATTAATCATTGACATTATTGATATATAACAAATCAATCCGCGAATGTTTATCATTACCGTATATAACAGAAATCTGACATGATTGATCAGCCGCTCACTTAACGTCAAGCGCGCCACACTGGAGATCTCGTTAGACTTCCGGTTGACTCACCTCTTTAACTTCAGTTTCTTCCCTTACCAAAACAAATTATATCTATGCTTCAATTTATAGGTTTCCTTGCTCCTCGGCTGCTTCACAAGAAACAAACATTTCGCTAACTTCCTCAAAAGATTCAACTTTGCTTTCTTCTCTTTCCACTTCCCCTGCACGAGAAAATTAAATGCCGCAGTTTTTATTTGTTGCCTAAAACAAAACACGTAGGATTCTAGTTTGACGACATAGAAGCAACACGCAAGCTCTTCTTTTCTCAATAATTCTTCTTCTTCTAAGCTTTCTTCGAACAGAATGGACAGAACGACACCAATTAACGACTGAGGAACGAAGCTAGCATGAAATTAACCACGCGCCACCCCTCCAGGAGTGCTTCTTCTCTGGACTAGAAGTTCTCTCAAGTCCTCGGCGAAAAAAGGCCGATAACAAAATTCAAGACGTTTTTGTTTGCTTGCATGGCCACTGCTCGGCTGTTTCTTATGGTGTGATTGGTTGGGGGAATAATTTCCATGCGAATGAAATCGATATTCTGTCGTTTGGTTAGTCGGGAATGTCATTCCCGATAATCTTATATTACTAATAGTCAATTTTTTTAGGTATATTAACGGAAATGTTATTATCTCCCTTTCCTTAGGTATTATTGGATTATCGGTATTTTGGACTAAAATACCCTTAATTTTTTTTCCAAAAATATCATTATTCTGTAATTAAATAATAAAAATTCTACAAATATTAAATTACAAATTTATCTTAAATTATTTTAGATTTACCAAAAAAAATCTATAAAAATTTTATATGAAGTTCAAGGGTTAAAATAAAATTTTACCCTTTCATTAAATCTTTTTATATTTTTAATTTTGTAAAAAAATTATATAAATTTTATAAATTTAAAATTTTAAAGAAAATATATAAATATTTTTCAACTTATTAAAAAAACAAATATATAATAAGGATAATTTGGTCAAATATACATTCTAATAATATTTTATTCCTTTAACCAAATACGATAATATTATATTTATGCTAAACCAATTAAACACAAAATATAACATTTCAGTAATCATATTCCCCGGTAATCTTTTATTCTCACTAGTAATCTTACGTTCCGAGAACCAAACACGCTCTTATGAGTAATCATCATTATTTTTTTAAAATTTAAATTTAGATTAGAATTGAAATTTTACTTGTTTCAAATTTAAATTCTACTCTTCGAAGAGTAGAGATGTTTTTCTTTTCTTTTTCAACTGATATAATATGGGCGGTTGAATTTGACAAGACTGATAATTACGTTACAGTTGGAGATTGAAGCAGTCTGATTGTGATATTTAAGACAAAAGGATGGGAAAGATGTGAGATTTTCTCAGTTTTATCGCAACTTTATCTTCAATACATAAACCTCGGCTTAGGTTTGTTTTCATTGTTATACACAGTTTTTCGCTTTCTAAAGCAGAAAACTAAGAGCAAAATGTGAATATCTACTTCAATAAAAAAGAGTTCTCTTTTTACTAAGAAAACACATGGTTTTACTGTATCCATTTGCTTTTTTTTCCCCTAAAAAATTTGGCCTTATTTTGCTTTGTAAGAACTTTTGGGAATGTAGAAATGTAAATACCTCAAAGCAATTAGCCAAAGTAAAAAATCAAATGGAGACGTAAGTTCCAAAAGAAAAAAAAAATCCTTATTTGTCTTTGTAATATGATTAATGCTGCTAAAATCCAACGATTTTAGTAATAAAAAATTATTATTATTCTTTGAGATCATAGTAATAAAATAATTTTTATTATTCTTTAGGATTTGAAGTTTGACGTGTGCCCCATTTCTTAGTTTCTTCTTCGGATGGTGGTGGTGCTTTTGGTCGTTCATGGGCTACTTCTTCTACCTTAGTGTTGACTTGGGGTGTTGCTGCCATATTTGGTAATATGGGTTACTGCTATCAAGACGTGCAATATATAAGTGAGAGGATTCAAGAAAAAAACTTTTCTTGTTATTTTCTTTGCGTTTATGTATTCTCTAGAAAACTAATCCTTTTGGGTTTTAGAAAAGCAAGCAGGATATTTCCAGAAGGGGTATTTAGGTAAACGGATTTGTATATTCTAGCACCTTCAGTTCATGCCTCATGGTCAATCCTGAGTAAGACCAAACATAGAAGTTTCTAGTTTAATCGGCTGTTTTTATATCATCAGGACTGACACGTGGGAGCATGAATTGATGACGTGTCGCTTAGCTGACTCATACCGTTACTTCGCATGATCTCGAAACATTTCAATCTCTCTCTATATATTAGGAATTACAAATACAAATATAACTAATATGCTAGATCATTATAATTTATTTATAGTTAATTGTAAATATAAATTTATAATTATAGGTAATAAAAAATTTGAACTCATCTAATGAATTTAGTAGTTGAAAAAAATGTTATTCTTTTTAAATGTTATAAATTCAAACAATTACATTTACAAATATATATACATTTTCAAATAATTAAAATGTTTTTAATTAAAATTACCTTATATTTACGATTAATTAAAATTTTAGAATATACCCTAGTCTTAATTAAGACAAACGTGCACAAACCATACATTTAAATAAAATTCAAAAGAAATATAAGTATACTTGTTAGATATAGTACGATGACTGTAATGGTAATTTTACCTTTAAAATTATACATTAGAAAAAGAGAAATAACGATATATATCACAACTGTTCGGTTCCCTTTGTCTTTTACCTGTTCGTTTCAATCTTAGCTAGAAAGAGTTGTATTCTAAACTCAACAAAAGGAAGCCTTCCTTCAATCGTGCTCATTTTGCACTCTTCTTAACTAGATTAGGATTGCATGTGTTCAGCTCATAATCTTATAGGTTGATGACTTTCTTTCAAGCCGCACTTTTATTTATATCTCTATATCATGATCTGTAAATGTCGATTTTATATATTCTCATTGTCGGAACCGTCTTTTGGTTGGGTCCCGGAATTAGGTTTTGACTTGGATTAAACGAATTGGAGTCGTCACCGATCATTTATTTTAAAGCAAATGGGTTGATCGGACACCTTATTTCTTACCTGATCTGCGTCTTACCAAAGATGTATCGGATTCGGGAGTCAGTTACAGTCAAGGAAAGGTTAGTACCCTTGAACTACCCTTTCGGTACTACGCAATTTTCAGTTTCTTAAATTAAGAAAATTGAAAGTTAAATTTTAAAGGTAAAATAACGATCCCCAAATTGCTCACCATAGATTAATTTGAAATCATCCTTAAATAATATGCAACATGTTAGATAAAAAAGGCAACAAAACAAAAAAATATAAATGAATAAAAAGGATAAAATAAAAAAGTAAATAAAGCTAAAAAGGATGATAATAATAAAATGAAAGAAAATATAAAATAAGCAAAATGAAAAAGAAGAAACATAAATAAAATAGAAAAAATGAAGAAAATAAATAAATAAATAATAAAGACGAAGAAAAAATGAAATAAATAAAATATAGGTAAATATAGTAAAAGTAATATTTGTAATAATAAATAAATAAAAGCAAGGGAAAACAAAAAAATATAAGTATAAAAGGAAAAAAATAATGTATATATATATATAAAGGTAAAAAAAATAAAAGATAAAATAAAATATAATATGATAGTAAAAAGAAAAAAAAGAATATAATATATATATATGTACAATTATAAGATATAGTAATTAAATAAAAAATAATTAAAAATATATATCTTAATAATAAGTATACAAATAAAAAAACACGTATATAACAAAATAAATAATATAAGGATTAAATTGAATTAAAAAATGAGTTTGGTGGCCAAATTAAAAGAGAATTGGGGTCAAAGTGGGCGTTTTAAATTAAGATGGACGAAAAATGTAGTTTATCCCTTTTGAAACAGAAACACGCGGGTCGTTTAGACCTATGGGTCAAGTCAGGCGTATGATGGGTCTGATATATAAGTAAAAAAAATTTTTG